CTGGGTTTTTCTTCTTCCCTGCTAATCTCTTCTAGAATGCCAAATGGAAGTTTATGTGGTACTTTTTCTTTTGCAAACTATGCTAGGTATATTTTTAACTAGACCTGTTAAGTTCAAGTTAAACAGATATCACGTTATTTAGGTATTGGGTGTTGTTTTTTTTCTTCAAAATATGTAAGTCAACAACCCTGCTCAGTAAAGAACTATTTTAGAAAATAGCTAAAAGGTGTGATGTGGACATAAAGCATGATTGCCTAGGCTTTGGATTTTTGGGATTGTGTATTTCTAATTTTAAAAAGAATGCAGAATTCTGAATGTATCTTGTGCACAGATATTTTCTCTAATTTATCATTCAAATTTCTATTTTACTTTGCATAGAATGTTCATTTTACATCATCTCCCTATAAATTTACTCTTTCATCCTTGTCCAGCCTCATACAGATGGTGCAGAGCTCCTGTTGTCCAGAAATGAGATTGAATATAACATGCAGACACATACTCTTTTATTTATGAAAGGAAGACATGGTTTCCAAGGGGTTGCTTTAGACCACCTGATCCTATCTTCCCAAGAGGCCTGGCTTCCTGGAGACTTCCTGAGCATAAATTGTACCATTTGGCAGAAGGCAAAGTAGTTGGGACCCAAACTCTAATCCTTATATTCTTAAATTTTATTACTCACACTAATCCAATGCACCACTCAAAAGAATAACCAAGGAACTTTGCTGTACTAATTTTCCTAATATCTGTAGCTGAGAAAAAAGCCAGGATATATCGGGACATGATCGTTTTACAGGGCAGCATTTCGATTACCCTGGTCAAAATTATATAAAATGGTACTTTGTATAAAAATTGTACAAAAGTAACTGTACTTTGAACAAAAATAGCAAACACCCCATCCATGATCTGGAAGTAATGAAAAACTCTGCAGCCTGCTTATCTTTCAATGGATAACAACTTTTGCAGAACAGTGTTATAAATCTCAGCCTATTTTAAATATAACAAGTGGTTTTTCCCCTTCCTAGTGTTTTCCCATAAATGCAGAGACTGTTTTTTTCAGATCAACCAAGTGTTGATCCATCGGTTGTGACAAGAATTGACTGACTGGCTTATTATCTGAGCCTGATATTGTGGACTGAGAGAGTGACTTGTCAAAGTCATCAGCTAGCTTTCATATTTAAGATGGAACAAGGACTCACAGTCTCTTCATTTCTAGCCTTAAGCTCTAATGTCTTAACCACTAGATCAAACTGGCTCTTCATTCTGAGTATGACAAGTGAATTATTAAAAAACCATCTGTTCAAAAGAAATCTGGATGAGATCTATAGAAAATAAAGCAAACAAACTTGGGAATAAGTATGTATATGATTACATATATGACTTGAGAAAGAAATATTTTAAGTATATGGGTAGTACTCAAGATAGGATTGTAATGGAGCCTGGCCATTGCAGTCACATGTTGCAACTGCCATTAAGCAAAACAGCCTCCTTAATCTCCTCACGTCCCTGATGCAGCCATTAAACAAATTCAAGAGTCATTAAACAACATGGGGTTCCCTGGGATGGGGGAGGCCTATGCAGGGCCAGTCACCTGCCTCAGATCTCCGAAGGCTACCCTCACCCCTCTCTTGCCTCACCCCTCTCTTGCCTCTTGGTGCCCCTAGTTCTTCAGCTTCTTTCACACCCAGTGAGTAAGGGGAAATCAGGCTGGTCAGAATTTGCAACCATTGGTGAGCAATGACAGATCAGGCTGGCTGGGGTTTGCAATCTAGTCTTATGGCAAAGAAGGTGTTACTCTTGTGTAGGGGGCTGCCTTTTTATGGAGGTTCCATAAACTTCCGAAACAAATGTCATCTCCTTAAAAGAATTGACCCTCATTTAAAAAATCCTACAATATTGCAAGAATAGAACCTGTTGAAAAAAGTTTGCTACAAGGCTGATTCTGTAAGAAAGCTGATTATATGTTAAGTAGGTGCCACTTTCAGAACCTGCAAAACAGAAAGGGGGTTCCTGGGCCACAGAGCAGGTTACGTCCTTCCAGTACTTAGGTGGGGAAACAGCTGGAGTCTTGCAACTCCAACTAACTTGATCTCCCCTTGTTCACTGGTGGTTGAAATCTCTTGCCAGCCTGATCTCCCCTTGCTTGCTGGGTGGGAAGAAAGCTAGAGGCTTGCAAATTCCAGCTGCTTTCCAACTACAGCCAGCATGATCTCCTTCGAGTGAATGAGTAGGACAATCACTGCTGCATCCACTACAACTTTAAAACCAGGTTGTAAGTAACTTTTGGGAACCTTATTATAAGTTAAGTACTTCCTGTATCAGTATTTCAACTCAAAACATTTGTATATACCCAGATAATTAATTATAAAAATGTGTGATAATATAACTAAGAAATGCTGACCAATGTGAATACATCTAATAATAAATGAAAGATTCTTCAAAATTTATAGTTGTTAATCAAGTCAAGTAAGTTCACTTTTGCATAATCTAAAAAAAAGATTCTATGCTTTGCAATACAAATCTAATTCATAGATGGAGACAGGAATTGGATCAATTTCTTATGTTGTATGTAACTTAGAACCAAAAAAGGTCCAATAGTTTTCCCTATCTACAAAAGCATAACAAGATACTGCTTTCTTCCAATTCATATTCTCGTACCTCAGTAAAATAACTAACATAAAATGAGAATTTGTTGAATGTATGAAGACTGATGGAAGGCCCAAAAAGAAAAAAAATGGTTCTCCCCTACCTCTTACAGACTCTTAATAGGATTAATTCAGCTCTTCCTTATGAAAACATGACTATTTGAATAATAACTGGGCATACTTCTGAGAACAAACTCATACGATGAGAGACATGTGAGTGTACAATATTAACCACCAAACATAATACAAAAATTATATAGCAGACCCTTCATAAAGTGTGTTACCGAGGCAGATATCCAATTCCCATTTTTTATTAATCTATATAATTTATTAATTATGCTTTGTTTAAAATTCTTAAAGACTTTTTAACTAAAAATTATCCTAGCATGTGTCTTTATAGAAAAGAAAAGTTATGTGGGATGCCCTATCTGTTAATAAAGTCTTTGGCAAATTTTCTCATCAATGATTCATGATCAAATATAAATTGTTATATGATTATTACTTAAAGAAAAAAAGAATAGGGTTAGAGATAATTGAACAGTTCTTGAAACAGTATGAAAACAATAGTTTGAATAAGCAGTGAAATAGCCAAGTTTGCTAATGATTATCTATAGTGGTAAGAATAAGTTTAAGTTTTTTTTTAAGATTGGGAGAATGGGTATTATAATGGCAAATTAAAATATAATTCTAACCCTCCTGTTCCAATAAATGGTTGCATTGAGATAATTTCTACTCCTTTTGTGGTATGTGTACAAAATGATGGGAATTGATTTGGAATAAATTTTGGCCCAATGAAATAAAAATATTGACCAGTATGTAATTCCCTGTGGAAAAAATGATTATATTTTGGAAATAATTAGAAAATGAAACTAAATTTTCACAAGGCTATTAAATAAATAAATAAATGATGAAATCATATATGGAATGCTGTCTAATTTTTAATAATTTTGTACTTACGGTATTACAAAAAAGATTCTGAAGAGTCCAAAATGAAGAGATTAAGAAACTCTTGTATTTGAAACTTTTTTCACGAAAACAGATGAATACAGCTTTATAAAATTCGCCATGGTACTAGGGGGGAAAATAATTCTTCCTAAATACGTGCTATTTTTTCTTGTTTTTTAAGCGAATATTTACAGGAAACCTTTTCAGAAACTACCATTGTCCCTGGCATAAAGAAAAGCCTTGAAATAATTGCATGTTACAAAGTTTATTCAGTGGGAAAGTTGCAATTATAACACAAGCACCAATAAGCTGTGAGAGACCACAATTTCACTTGGCCTTCATGAGACAAGGATAAGAACTCATTTCAAACTAGTGAACATCTTTGGAATTTTGTTAGTTTATTTGTGGGCATTCTTATATTGCTTCTATGAAAATGAGGTATTGTCTCTTTGGACATCAAAGGCCAAGAAGATAGCCTGTCACAAAACACACATTTTTCAGAAGACAAACTAATGAGTTTTGTCTTTGCCATTCCATTTAATATTTCCACTATGCTTTCTACTACTACAAAATTATCTGTATTCCTTTGTGTAAAATCATACATCCAAATAAAAGGATGGATATAACCATGACAATTTTTAAAAATATGTAAGACTCAGATACTTTCTTCAAAATGATGTTGATAACTGGCAGTGCTTTGCTTTAAAAAATATATATTAAAAGAAGGAAGAAAAAAATAGGAACTAGAGCACTGTTGTATCTGGGGAGTTTGAGTGTGTGTGTATGTTTGGATCACTATTTTTTGGATAATTTTTGCTTCTAACTACAATTTACATCTGCATTGAACGTAGGCATTTTGGTTTAGGTTATATTCTGAAGAAATCAAATCTGTTTCTGGAAGGCAATACTGCTAGAACTCAAACTATCACACACTTTACAGAGTAATATGAACACCAGGCAATGTAAAGTAGTAGTAGTAGTAGTAGTATTACACATTTGCAAAACAGGTACAAGCTTTCATTCACTATGAATCAGGAAAAAGCTGGAAATGCTTCACTATGTTTGTGTACTCAGACATAAATTCCTTCGATTGATTTCTTCCCTAGTATAAGGGCATAGGCTTCCTAGTTTAATTAACCCCGCACAGCTTATCTAAATACTAAGTTTTTGAAACCGTGCGTTCTTTTCGACCTGTCAGCCTCGTGACGTGCGAGCCACAATGGCCAATCAGCGTGGGAAGGAGGGAAGGCGGGCGTTGGCCGGTTGAACAGGAGCAGTGGAGGTGTTCATGCGCCTTGGCAGGAATTGGATTGCGTGAGCACGCTGCATACGCACGAACGTTACGTGCCTGAAGGCAGACTTTAAGGCCTGGCAGGCCTGTCCAGTTAATCGGCCAGAAAACAGGGCAACGAATTAGCGTCCCTAACAGGGAGGTTGTCGGGAGTTGCACGTTATTTTGTGTTTTAATTTCCTCCCTCCCCCCCCCCTCCTCCCTCGTCTGAGTCGCAGTCGCTTGGATAGCTTCATTTTAGGTCCGTTTAGCGCGCGCGCGCGCTTTCTCCTCCCCTCTTCCTTTTTCTCTCCTTCCGCCGCCAGAAGGAGTTGTGTGTGAGGAGGGGGAGGGGAAGTTGTAGGGGAGACTCCAGTCGCTTCCGCCGGGGGTGGGGCCGCCCCGCAGCTGAGGGAGAAGTAAAGAGCGCGCGAAGGGAGACCGAGCGGCCGACTGAGCGGCCAGGCGGAGGGCGAGGCGGCGGCTATCACCGACTCCGATCCTCTCTTTCCTTTTCCCTTTCCCTTTCCCCTTCCTCCTTTCCTTCCTAGCTTCACCTCACCGCCGCCGCCACCACCATGGAGCTCATTACGATTTTGGAGAAGACGGTTTCCCCAGGTAAAGGAGAAAGAAACCCCAACAGCCTTTTTCCCCCCACCCCACCCCCACCCCTTTTCTTTCTAGATATGCTGCAGAGGGAGGAACGGGTAGGGCTGAAAGCATCTCCCCTCTCCAAGATTGGGAGGAAATTGGGGGCAGGGAAGGGCATCTAGGCATAGCGCATATGTGGCTCTGGGGAAGGCGTTAGCCGTTGTTTGAAGGGAGGAAATGATTTAAGGGAGAAGGGGTGGGAAGTGGGGGGTAAAAGAAGCATCGGCGAGCCTCCCTTTGACGATTCGGGGCCGTTGGAAGAGTCGGGCTCCGTCTCTGGCCTTGGGGATAAAGGAACCACTGAAGGCTTGGCTTGGGCCCCGTGGTTGGAGGGAAAAGGAGAAAAGGAGGGGCAAACGTGAATTTTATCATTTGTGAGGTGGGGGAGATTGCGAATCCCCTAGTTAGGCTGGCTCGGAAGTAGCCTTAGGCGTAAAACGCCGCTTTTACACATATATCACACATATTATATATAAATACATATGTACATAGGTAGGGTCAGATGATGAGGGTAATGGTGCACGTGTGTGTAAGAAGGTAGCTTTGGGCACAAGTTAATGGATTCGCTGAACGATACGCTGAAGAAAGGGTCTTCTTGAGGGTGGGAATGAGAGTGCTTTGCGTGGCATATGGGTTAAGGGTGGGGTGGAGATTCCTTTGCATATGACTGGGGTAAGTCTTCTCGTCCGAGAGCTGCTTCTTAGATGGTGCCGGGGAGCATGGGGAGACGGAAGCTGACGGGAGAATAGGCGATGGCCTCAAGTCGGGTCAACCGTAAGACCAATGCCTCCATGAGGTTAAAGGTAGGGTGGCAATGAAAGCAGCGTCCCCGGTGAAGTTGAGGCCCGATATTTATCTATTCAGGTCCGGTGTAGGCCAAAAAATCAGTAATCCGAGATTGACTGTGATAATTGGGAGAGTTGTGACCACAGGGCTAGAGACGGACTGATGTTTTAACAAATGTCTAATGCACCTCTCCCCGAAATCTTTAAAAAGGCATTCGTTGTGGATGAATTATTTAGCGTACGGCATCTACAGAAGTCATGCAATCATTGATACACAACACTAATAAAACACACCGTACAAACAAAAATATTAGTTGTGGATGAGTGAGGTTACGGTTATGCTGTACTTGTAACGTTCCCCAAGAGGCGTTTCTCTTTTTGAACCCCACTGTGCGATACTGATTGATGGAAAATGAAGTTTTGAGTAGAAAGAAGCGTGATGCGCCGGGGACCTCTGTCTTTGGTTGGGGCTTCGGGAGGCATTGAAAATCTCCATTTTCAGAATGGAGTGAATTTAAGCAGAAAGAAGAGCGATTACTGGTAAAAAGCGAGAGGATTCGGGGTGTTAACTGTTGGGCTGAAATTGAGCTTTAGGGTCGCCACTGACACTCCTATATGCATTTTTTCTCTTCCACCCCCACCCATCTTCTGCAGACTGCACCGAGCTTGAAGCGGCTCAGAAGTTCCTGGAGCAGGCAGCCATCGAGAACCTGGTAAGGGAAAACGCAAGAGTTGAGCTGAGTTTGGGTGGGGTTTGCGAAAGTGGAATATTTTCCTTGTGTAAAAAGACCTGATCAGAGCAGGCCGAGCCGCCATAGAGGGGCGCAGCCTAACCGTAGGCTTTTTCTTCTCTCTCTCTCTCTCTCTCTCTCTAGCGGGGGGGGGGGAGGCAAGCATGAAGCAGCCAATGGCAAAGCTCTCGGGAGTCGCGCCATCCAATCGTGAGGGCGATCCTGACCCGCGGGAGGGAAAAGGAAGGGGAGGGCAGTTGGACCTACCGCGCTGCATGCATGGAGGGAAAGTGGGGGTGGTGGTTAGATTGGGCCTTTGGGGCCGGCCATGTGGGGAAGCCGGCGTGTATAGTCAGCTAAAGGGAGTGGGCAGGAGGTTGTCTGGAACGGGCCGTTGAGCTCATAATCAGGCCTACTAGGTTTCGTTTTCTCTGCCTAGTTTAAACATTCTCTCTTTTGCCAGCGAATCGTCTCCCATTTTCTATGCCTTTCCATTTTTGTCCATTTTCCCTTGTTTTTGTAGTTTTTTTCATAGATTTGAATATTTTTTAGCCAGACGTTGCATATATATATATATATATATATATATATATATATATATATATAAAATTCTCATCCAATTAATTTGTTCTTTGGTTTGAAAACAAACTTGACCTGCTTCAGTCTCTAAAATACAGAATATTTGTGAAATACCTCATTCATCCCTATTTTTGAAAAGATTGATTCAGAGCAATATTAGTAGCCAAATGAAACTACTAAGCATTAGTTGATATAAGTACCAGAATAATATAGGATAAGTCTAGAGCTGAACAGTGAAACAAGTCTAATCCACAATTTATAAGGAAGCCATATATTACATTTACTGAATCACAATTAAGATATATTCATTGTAAGGCCATAAAGGAGAATAGTAATAAAAATTGAGTGTAATTGGTTATGATAGTGTTATCAGCTGCTGTTGATAATTTTTTTAAAAGCAGAAATAGAATATAATAAAATAGTGTATCATAACAAAACAATTATTGGGGATGATTTTTTTCTGTGGCATTCATCCAAAGAGAATTGTTCAGTGGTTGATTTTTTAACTGATCACATATTGTAGAGATAAGTTTTCAGACTATAGAATTGTTTGAAGCTTATTTAATAAATTTATTTTATTTTATTGGCAATGTTGACAGAGTACATACATTATCAGCAATTGATGTCTTAGTTTTAGATTTTATACAGGTACTTAGAACATTTTCTTTTTCTTAATACTTAAATTGTTGGTTAACTATATTTTAAAGGATATAGTACACTTTTTCAGCACTACAATAAATCTATAAAAAAAAATACAATGGTACATTTATTGTTGAACAGTTTATGACTTGCATTGCTAATGCAATAATTAACATTTTTTACTGCACTTTTATACAGTAATGATTGTTCTTTCCCTAAAAAGCTACGCAAAAGTTCTGGAATACTTTCATAGGATATTTATTTATTTGTATCCCACCTTCAATATTTTTACAAATAACTTAAAGGCAGCAAGCATACAGCACACTGTCTTTCTTTTACTTTCTCCACAACAACTCTATGAAGTGTATTGGGCTGAGAGTGTGACTGTTTCAAGCTCACACAGCAGGCTTTTACGTCTAAGGCGGTGCTAGAACTCACAATCTCCCATTTTCTATCCTGGTGGCCTAACCACCCCAGACCAAGCTGTCTCAGTATTATTCATACTGTTTGCTGGTGGATAGGCAAAGTTCTGTTTCAAATCACTAAATTGTATTGGTGATAATATGTTACTAGCCAAATGTGAAGTCAACTTTTACTATGTGAAATATATCCCTCTTTGAAGATCTCACATTTTAAATGGTAGAACAATGTTGAATTATCACCAAAGACATATTTCTCAGACACTCCCAATTGTTCAGAAAGATGCAAAGCATCTATAGACTCCTAAGGGACTAGCATCAGATGCTTTTTGAAAAAGCATCACATTTGTATTCAGTCTATTATTTAAAACAAAATGTATCCCAGTATTTCATTTTGTTTTATATTTATAGTAACTCTTCAAAATAGATTGGGAGCAATTGATGGGCCTAGGCCAGATAGGGAGCTTGGTAGCTAAATTGAGATTTGAAATTTAATTTCCATAGTTCAGCTCCAACAGCAACGGTGTTTTTTTCTTCAAACTTATGCCCTCTAGAAATCCTAGACAACAGTTCCTATTTCTAGCCAGCAGGCACAATAAACTCTTTCTGTGGGGTCTAAAAAAATAAACATTTGAATATATATGTTTTCAAATGACTTCCTCAATTAAGATCAACCTTGATCAGAAAATAGAAAAACTATACTGTTTGATATAACATGTCTTGAATTAGAGATTATTTGATAATATATATGATCTTAAGATAAAGATTTCTGCAGAACAGTATTTTGTAAACACTGAAAGATTGATTATTTTATCTAAGTGTTCCAATATTCTTATCCTATTTTTTTTCATTACATTATATCTTCAGATGTATAACCATGTATGAGGTTTGTAGAAAAGAATAGGGAACAAATAAACATTTATTTCACCCCTTTCTTTGGCAGATATTAATTTCAGAATGTGCTTTGACATGTTAAGGCGTAATTCTCACTTTTGTTCCTTGGTAGCAGAACAGTTTTGAAATAAAACTGTGAAATAGTGCTATAACACTTATTTACTCTCTGCATAACATACTCTCTGCTAAATTAAGGTTTGGGATCTTGACAAGTTGCTTACCCTTCATGGCTTGTCACCTATCTTCATAAAAAAGAGTTAAAGTTCACAATTGCATTCCTTGTCTCTTAATCCAGAGATATATACATGTTCAAAAGTAATCAAATTTATAAAGTACATTATGATTGGATAGGAAAAACGTGCAGGAATTAGATAATGAAATCTGCTCCCTCTATGCTGTAAAGGTTTAAAGTGCATCCTGATTTACTTAATTATCACATAAATATTTTTCTATACAATTTCTTTTTTCCATGCTTTTTATTTCAATTCATTGGTCATCTTGGGAAGAAAGAAGAGAATGACCCTGCAACTAGCATGATCTAAATAGTATCTTACCTGTTTGTCCAAGATTTATAAGCCATGCTAAAGAGGAGTATAAAAGGACAAGATATAAGAAGAAGAATCTGGATTTTATTAGATAGTATGTAGAAAGCGATCTGATTGAAATGAAGTTGATAGTCATGTTTTGGAATGAATGAATGAATAAATAAATAAATGAGGGACTGGTTATATTTAATTATTTGTGAAAAAAATATTAAAACTGAGGAAACATCCAAATATTGTTTATGATACAGTAATGGAATTCCTGCTTTACAGCTTTTATTTAAAGCTGGAAAAATCCTGGAAAAATCCTCTTTTTCTTAAATATATCAATCTTTCAGAAAATAGTGTTTCAAATTTAATGAAACTTTTATGTCTTGCTGTACTCTCAATTTCTATCAAATGTTAATGGATATGGTTTAGGTATTATTTAACCTTGTTATTCTTTTCCATACTTTATACTTCCTAACTGCTTTTAATAAATTAATAAAACTTAACTCCAAATCCAAATTTAGTAACACTCTATGTCAAGCTTTCTACAAGTAAATATTGATAGTAATATCATAGCTTAGAAAAGGGGTTTAAAATTTATTTTGTGCTTTTAATATTGTAGCAAATCGCTTCTGGGCACATGTTGATATATTTGGTTAAATATTTTGATGAGCGGTCCTGTATGTTTATTTCAGTACTGAAATATCATTTGATGAGCATACTAATTTTCTTTTTTGAGAAGTCATTTTTGTACACACAGCACTTCTTTCACATAATTTGCTGTAAAAAAGGTATTCACTATGAATAGGTATACCCTATGATTTTCAGTCTTTTATAGCAAAGCAAAAATTTAAATCCTATTCCTCCTGTCCAGCAGTCAGATGAGTGTTACATATTTCATAGTCCTAGTTTGCTGCTAACCATGAATGTGTATTCAGGTTCTAGCCAGCATGTAGAGTACCCACCAATTCTTTGAATAACAACTATATGCTGTTATGGTCTAAGTTAATATGCAACAATTGGATTTCTATACCTTTGAGAACTGGTTGCTACCCGTAAGTTAAAAACTTCGTTATTTCTATATCCTATAATTGGGTATTACTTTAAAGTTCGAATCTTTGAAAATAAATACAGAATACCTTCAATTTAAAATGAAATTTAATTCTATACAAATGAACTCTCTAAAAAAGAGATGTAAAGCAATGACCCCAATCTTTTGGGTGCTAGGGACAGGTTCCATGGAGGGCATTTTTTTCTGTGGACTGGGTGGTTTCATGTGCTGCCTGGATCCCACGTGTGCGGGTGGGATTTTGCTCACTTATGTGACCTTGGGGTTGGGGACCCCTGATGTAAAGAACAGAGATTATTGTAATAGAGACCTTGTAAGTAGTATATAAACCTAAGGAATTTACTGTTGCCTGGTGGTTATATGTGGTTGAGATGTGCTGCTTGGATGAACTGTTATTTTTTTTAATCTAGATTGTCATAGTTGTATATTTCTGCATTAATCAAAAAGATATAATAAGTTTTGGTTATTGAAGGTTTTTTTTGTTACTAGCCTACTTTCCTTGTGGAACTGTCCAGAGTGCTGGCAAATCCAGGAAACAGCCAAGTTGCAAGAGTTGCAGCTGGTTTACAGATCAAGAACTCTCTGACATCTAAAGATCCTGATGTAAAGACTCAACATCAACAGAGATGGCTTGCAATCGATGCCAATGCTCGCAGAGAAGTCAAAAATTATGTATGTTAAACCTTACTGCTTTTTTATCAGTATGGATGTTTTTCAGTACCATGTTTCCCTGAAACTAGGACATGTCCGGATAATAAGCTCAATTGGACTTTCGAGCACATGCACTAAAATAAGCCCCCCAAAATACTTAAGACGCATACGCAGCTGCCGCACAAACAACATGATGTGAGGAGGCCAGGCCGGAGAGGGGGGGAAGGGAGGGGGAACATGCCCCACGCACCCCACATGCACCTGTCATCCACATGGAACAGCCTCGCGGACTGAACCCAAGAGATACAAAGAAGCAGATTGGAAAGGGCTGTCTGCAACTTGCGGCATGGTCTTCCCTTCCCTGCTTTTTCCACTAACAGAAAACCGATCCAACTTTCTGGGTTTACCCCCCTCCAGATCTGCCTCGGTCGCAATGTCCACTTACATGAATTCGTCATTGGCCATGGTTTTGCAGAAGAAGGCTGGACGAGGAGATGCAGGATTTCAAAGGAAGACTCTAACCGCTTTTTAAAACTTGGATTAAAGTCCGAAGTTGGTGCGCTCTTCGCCTAGCAACTTCAAGCTCCTACTGTGTTCCTTACGTTCCAATGGTCGCCTTCAAATGCGGCCGGCCCTTTCAATCTGCTTCTTTGTATCTCTTGGATTCAGTTCGTGCAGCCCGGACATTGAAGGCTGGGGGGGAGACTTCACTCTGTTGTCGGGTTCGGGACTGAGGGGGTGGGCAGCGCTTTAAGGCCACTTGTGCAGCTGAAGCAAGCAACTCCTCATCCCACGCCCTCACCTCCCAGTTAAAGAATGAAGTTTGGGGGGGGAGAGAAAAGTGAGGGAGGAAAATAGTTGCCTTCCAAATCTCCAAAGGATGTGGAGTTGAGGTCTGGCTAAATGGATAATGCACCATGACCAAATAAAAGCAGACAGGAGAATATTCACTCCTGTTGCTTTTCTCCCTGTCTGTCTCTCTGCCTGTCTGCTCCGTCATGTCTTACCTGTCTTCCAGCTCCTGCCATGCCCGGCGAGGGAGAGAAGAGACGGCAAGGGGAGTCCCGTCTCATTCCATGCGTCTTACTTCGCCGCCGCCCCACCCCTTCCCACCTGCCACTCCCCCTCGCTGGCCGAGATCGGCAAGCCAGATTCAGGAAGCTGAACACGCTGCCGCTGCCCAGGAGAAGAGCATCAGAAATGGGCGCTCTCGCAGCATCTCCTCTTTCTTCTCCCAAGTGGCAGCGGTGCATCCGGCTCACCAAATCTGGCCTGCTGATTTTGGGCGGCAGTGGCAGCAGCTCTGACCCAATCCTCGCCGGCAATGCTGCGGGCAAGAACAGCCACGATCCCACTTCATGGCTGTGCAGACAGTCTGCACCGGCCACTGCTTGGAGCTCCAGCACCAGTCCCCCTCCTCCGAGTCCCAGGTCAATAGGGCTAGGGCTGGCAAGAGTTTTTTTGCAGCTGCCACTAAGAGAAGGGGCACGTGAGCTAGGGTTTGTGGGAGCAGCCTCTGTGAGGCCATTCCGCATGGATGGCAAGTGCGTGTGGGGCATGTTCCTCCCCTTTGCCTCCTCACCTCGTGCTGTTTGCACGGGAAGTAATGAAAAAGCTGCCACAGTTGCTGGAGGCAGCAGCCTGAGCAGCACCGGCAAAGTAGCTGGTCGGCGCTCCGGGGCCGAGGTTTAGGGATAAGACCCCCAATAATAAGGCCAACGCCATATTTCGGGGTTGAAAAGAAAATAAGACCCTGTCTTATTTTCATGGAAACACGGTACAGCATCTACTGTATATCTTTAGTTGAATACTGTTTCTTCAATTTACTATTCTCTTGTTTGTTCCGAAGTTGAGAAAAATATGTCTTACAACCTCTAATAAAAAGGCTTGGACGCATGGTTTATTTTTGCTCAACTTCAAAAATGATACAGAAAAACAGCAGTCCATTGCTTAGTGCTAACAGTATTGCAGCTTTGTGATCTTGTCTACTGATAATGATCCTCTTCTTATATTCACAGGTTTTGCAAACTTTGGGTACAGAAACTTACAGGCCAAGCTCAGCATCACAGTGCGTTGCTGGCATCGCCTGTGCAGAGATCCCTATGAATCAGTGGCCTGAACTTATTCCTCAGCTAGTAGCCAATGTTACAAATCAACATAGCACAGAGCATATGAAAGAATCGACATTGGAAGCCATTGGCTATATTTGTCAGGATATTGTAAGTGTTGCTTTCAACATGCTATTCAAATTATAGTATTTTTTCATCTCGTGCTTATTATTAATCTCTTACTCTCTGTGGCTTAATTTTAATCATTCCCGTGTTTTGTTAACTGAATAAAGGAGTAGTGCACAATAATACTGTCTCTGAATATGTTCTGAATTTTTCTTGCATGATTGTAGCTGATTCGAAATTATGCATTGGAGGCTTGATTTTTCAAGCCAACTGAAAATCCTAATATTTGTTCTCCTGGAGTGTAACTGTGTATAATTACTACCTACTATTTGAGGGAGCAATGCAGATTATTAAATCTTGCAGCTTTATGGACAAAATATGTGCAGAACAAGAAAAATAAGGCACCAACAGTTTTCTTATCCAATTTTTCTATAATTTGTTCGTATTCTGTCTGTGACAGATCCAAATTAATTTCACTAATTGTGCAGTTACTTATGGGACAGATTTAAATATTCTCTCTATAGGACTTTGGTAGGTTCCATTTAGCTGCCTCTTTGCTGGAAGCTGGATTAGTGGACTCAATTCAAGTTAGCCCTAGAATTCATCTTTCTATATCCAAATAAGATGCAAATCTCCAGAAAGTAAAGTACTCAGTGACTAATATGAAGTGTAGTGATAAACAGTCTCCATTCTAACTTGGAAATACTTGGGCTTCTCAATTTAGACAACATGCTATGTTATCATTTTAGCAATTTTATGTTATGTTTGTGTGTCTATATTTTTCTTGACTGTACACCGCCTTGAGTCCTACGGGAGAAAGACGGTATAGAAATATAATAAATAAATAAATAAATAAATCATTTTAGCTGGTTGCACATTTCATAGGAATACAGCCATAGTTTATAATAGTCTTTCGTTTTTCAGGATCCAGAACAACTTCAGGATAAATCCAATGAAATTTTGACTGCCATTATCCAGGGCATGAGGAAAGAAGAGCCGAGTAATAATGTGAAATTAGCGGCTACAAATGCACTCTTGAACTCTTTGGAATTCACCAAAGCAAACTTTGACAAAGAGGTAAGTGACCATATTGGAATATGATGAAAAAAGGGTTGAAAAGGATGCCAATGAAATCCATGGTCTGTGATGAGCAACCATGCACCACACTGAGCTCTGATGCATTCCTATTTGACTGAGACTTGGATTTATACATGTTTAGAACTTGTTTTGAAAAACTTATCCCTTTTACGTTTATTCAAACAACAACAATAAATCAACTAAAGTGACATACACATAAATTTTGTTACTCAGCTGTGACTACATAAAGGATTATGACAGCATAACCTCTTCTTGTATGCTCTTGTTTCAATTTAATAAGTAGGCAATTGAACAAATTTTAAGGTTTATAGAATCAGCAATTGACTGCCTGGGTAATATTATTTCTTATACCAAGTATAAGTATCTTCTTTTGAATCTTGGAATTTGATATTAATAATATATCAATTCCTGCCATGTATTATGCATAACCTATTCAATTGGCTTCATAGTATTTTTCTAATTTCCATCCAGTTGTATTGTCCTTATAAATAAAAACTATTTGCACAACTGTCCAACGAATGGTTCATGATAGTGAATCGGTATGTGGCAAATGTCATAAAATCAGTATATGCATTGTGAGAATAATTTTATGACAATTCAGCTTCATTGTTTCTCTGAAATCCTGATAACACAGTAGGTCTTTTTCTCAAATTAGAAGCGATGTTGATAGGTTAATTTCTACTTATTTAGAAAAGGATGAAAGTATTCAAGTGTAAAATGAATACAACCATTTCTTTACAGATTATTTGGTAGTAGTAAACTTTTAAGATTTGCTTTTAAAACAAGACCCAAGCATTTTTGCATGCAAAAATATAATTTTCCCTGTCAAATTAAAATTAAAATAATAATGTTATGTCAGACAGTGGGTTATTTGTAAAACTTCTGAGATGTAAATAGTGCAGTCAGATTCTAATTTATAAATGAGAAGAAATCAAAATGTAAGCTACTATAAGTCTCATACTGATTGTGCTGCAGTCTATGAAACATCAGTGATATTTATAGAGTTTGTCTAACAATGGATACTTTTTTTGGCAACAAGGGTTTAATCTTGTACTGTAAAATCATTTTAAAGTTACTGTACACATACTAAATGCTATTTGATGTTCCATAAGTAGCTTTTAGTAAATGTTTCAATTGATAATAATATTTCATGTTATTCTGTGATTTTTTAAAGTAACCCTGACAATTTAGGCCTGGAAGTTTTTTTTTTTGCTTTGTAGCAGTTTTTAATTGTATAAGGATTAATTAGAATTGCATACCAAATGAACTAATTTTGTTTAACTTAGAGCCGTTTGTGCTCCCTCGCCTCTTAGGACACTTCAGATTTTTTCCCCAAGTGTTGCAATGTGATTGTTTTAGGCTGAAATGATGGGGCTGGACAAGTCATGGAACAGTCGGAAAATGGGCAGAGGTCGAATATGCTGCCCTGTGTAATAGGCATGGTTATAGAAATAAGGCAAGGTATCGAAAGTGCTGGGAAGCTAGGACAAGCAGATCAAAAGTAGAGGAAGGGGGAACACTGAAAGCAATGCTCATCAGCCTTATTCTACTCACCCCATAAAAACAAGCTAGGCTTTCTTCAGATTTTGTTTTACCAAAATCCAGAACAACTTAACATAACTTTGTGAACATTTCAACTCAATGAAATGCTCCATTTTCTGCCATAAGGAACAGAACTATATATCTGTTTTTTTGCTCCTTTACTATTCAGCATAGGATAAAAGTTAAGGACACTTTATAAACAAAACTGAAGCAATGGCTTTATTTCAAGGCTGCCATAAATAGCGTAATTGCAAAAATACTGCTTTGATTATTGATTAGAGGCTTTTTCCTAATACATATAATTGCACAGTGAATAATTTGACATTTAATAGTTAAAACAGTTAAGTAGCATTGCAACATATCTTTAATATGTTAGGCAAAGTTTAAGAAACAGACTAACAAAGTTTTATTTTAATTAGACCACCTGTCCATAAGAACAACTCAGCAAGATAAACGTTCGCTTAATGCCCAGGCATAGTGCATACTTTTACATAGGCATTCTAAAAAAGAAAATACGATACTTATAGGCCAAATTATATTATAAGTTATGAACTTTAACTACTCTATAGAAACTTGTTTAAAGACTGAAGAAAGCTTATATGCTTATGTAATACTTATCTAGCATCACAGTCTGATTCATCCTTATAGTAGTAAGAACAAAGGTGCTGTTGGCATAGAGGTAGTATTAAGAAATAAATTAAGCCAAAGACCCATCCCAACTGCCACTGAGTAGACATTATTAAGGGGAAGAAAAGGAGTGACCAATTAGTTAAATACAGATTGCCTGAGAACGATTTAGACCCAACTTTGTCAGAAAGTGCCTGACCATTCAACCCTATAGCACAACTAACACAAGCTGGGAAAAGGATAACACTGCCAAACATCAAAAACATCTCAGAAACCACCAACAGCCTATTACAACCATATGGCATTACCATAGCACACAAACAAATTAAAGCCATCCAAGATATCCTAAGTAAATCAAAATACCCAACAGCCCCAAAAATAAAAACAGGAGTCATTAACCACATGTAGGACAAGAGGCAAACCAGCAATCAGAAAACATGATGAAAAGTCCTTAATTTCAGAACACATGGATAGACGTAACCACATTTTCAACAAGAAAACTCATCATCCTAGATCAAGCCAAGTCCAAAAGCACTAGAGAATTTCTGGATACCAGGAACTAAGACAAATTGATCATCAACGGGCACTTAAAATAAACATGTGCCAACAATGTCACAATCAAGGAACCACCAACTCAGACAAGCAAGCTAATTGGAAACAACAGTCCAATAAAGGAACCACCAAGACCAAGATATGACTGTAAGGGCAAGCCACTAGTATATAAATCACTGATGATGTTATCTGGTTTATTTATTTATTTATTGGTTCGATTTATATGCCGCCCTTCTCTGGAGACTCAGGGCAGCTTACAATGCACTAAAAATAGCCTTCATACTTTTGTATATACCTGCTTAGTAGGACTTTCGGGGGCCCCTAAGTGGTGTTCTTTTTTTTTTTTTAATACAAAGTCAGCTTATTGCCCCCACAATCCAGGTCCTCATTTTACCTACCTCGAAAGGATGAAAGGCTGAGTCAACCTTGAGCCTGGTGAGATTTGAACTTGCAGTAATTGCAGGCAGCAAGTATATTGGCCTCAGTAAAAAAAGTCATTGAATCTGTTTAATGTGGAGAATATTATAATACAATTTCTGAAATGGGGGCTTTATTCTGTCATCAGAAGCATTCACCTCGAAATTAAGAATGCTTGAATCTTCCCCAAAGTAGCCATTTAGTCAGAATTGCCATGAGCAGCAAGTCACAAAGAAGCTCAAAACAGAATTTTGGGATCTTCAAATCACTTAGTATGAATAAAAGCAGGTTTTCATGACTCTACCAATATAAAATAAAAATAGAATTCATGGAAATCTAGTAAGATGGAAGCTGTTGTTTACTAAAGAGATTATTGATGCCTATAAGAAATTTGCTAGCAAGCGGTTGGAGAAATGTTCTATAAATACATAAGCCACAAATGGAGCTCTTTATATTTGGGGGAAGATAAAAAATATGAATTCTACAGAAGAATATCAGACTATCCATCAGCTAAAACTCAAGTACACATAGATGATGCAGCAAAATAATGATCCTGAACATACAAGCAAATTTATAAAGAATGGATGAAGAAAAATAAATGTATTATTTTGGAATACAGGTAGTCCTTGACATTATGTGCTTGTTTCTGAAAGTTTATGAAGAGCTATTTACCACAGTATAATTTACAAGTTTAGAAAAAAAATGGTGATAGGATAAGCACATTGTTTTGAGTTGCAGGGAATTTCAGTTATTGTCTTCCTTTTGGATTTGGTTTTTGTTTTTGTTTTACCATTAGGGACCTAAAATATGAATGAAAACAAATGTTCAAGTGAATGAAAGATGAAATAAAATATCTTGACTATCTAATGAGTAATTTAACTTATTTTATCCAAACAATTTTATATTGAAACTACAGTATTTTCATTGTGTGATATCTATAGTAAACTATAACTTTAAAATAATTTTATTTCAAACTGGAACTTTAAAACTTTCTAGTAGACTTAAGAATTTTACTCTTTCAGAAAAGGTATGTGGTTGAGATGACTTTTAGGTATTATAGGGAAGATGCTGCCATATTGCAATCATGTATTCTTCAATCAAATATTTGAAAAGGTTTTTGTTTTACATTGAATTTGTTTGGTAAAATAAAGTTGTGTTGAATTTGAATCATTGAGAAGTTTTATATGATTATTAGGAGTTGAAACCAACTTGATAACACATAATCCTAATCAAATCATTGAGTACCAGAGGATTCTAGCATATACTATTGTATATTTTGTTTATTTTAATTTTAATTTGAAGTATACTTTGTAACTTCAAACCTAATTCTACATTTTTCTTTCTATTCAAAAATTCAGTCTGAAAGGCACTTTATCATGCAAGTAGTCTGTGAAGCGACACAGTGTCCTGATACAAGGGTAAGCCTGAAACTCTTTTCCAGCAGTTTCAATGTACGAAAAGTATAAGGCTGTTTTAAAAAAAAATGGATGACAGGTTTTAAACTAATTCTTCACCAAATATTTTATGCAATGTTATCAATACATTCAGTGGTTCCTGGCGTTATATAAAAACAAAACTAATGATAGACATCTATTCCAAAAGAGATTACCCTCAGACAAAGGTGGTTGGGAGTGACATAGGGAGTGACACAGTATGAAAGTAAAGAAATTTGTTTTGTATTTTTGGTTATAATCAGAGTGACAAACGAGTAATTACGTGCATTACAACATTACATAAATGGCTAGGGTTTTGAGGTGGTCTTTAGTTAAATAAAAGGATGGCATGATAAGGCATGAGTGAAGCTAGTTTAATGAAAGAAAAAATATCTTAAGAAAGAAACTTGCTTTTTACTTTTCTATAGGTAATAGTAGATAGGTCTTTGGTTGCTATAATGTCAGAAATAGTATAGGAAGATTATTTTCTGTTCAGTGCTTTGTAGTTCTTTTCTCATTTTTCATTATCTGCTTAATTTTAAAATTAGGAATAAATTCTAAAATATTTGGTTAAAGTAATTTGAATACTAGTTTTATTTCATTCATGTGGTAGGTTTTATTATTATTATTTATTAATTCAATTTATATGCTGCCTTTCTCCAGAGACTCAGGGCGGCTTACAATGCATTAAAAAAAACATTATAAAAACATTTAAAAATTAAAACATTAAAACCCATTCACACCATTCATGGCCGGATCTCACAAGATCACAACAGTGAGATCAATGGCTCCAGGCCTGCCGGAAAAGCCAGGTCTTCACCGCTTTTCGGAAGGCCAGTAGGGTGGGAGTGATCCGGACCTCAGGAGGTAACTGGTTCCAGAGAGCTGGGGCAGCCACAGAGAAGACCCTCCCCCGTGGGCCCGCTAGCCGGCATTGTTTAGCTGACGGAACCTGGAGGAGACCAACTCTGTGGGATCTTACTGGTCACTGGGAGCTATGTGGTAGAAGGTGGTCTCGAAGATAACCTGGCCCTGAGCCATGTAGGGCTTTAAAGTAATAACCAACACCTTGAATTGTGACCGGAGACCAATAGGGAGTCAGTGCAGCTCGCGGAGAATTGGTGTAATGTGGGTGTATCTAGGTGCACCCACGATAGCTCGCGCGCCTGCATTCTGGACCAACTGTAGTCTCCGAACACTTTTAAAGGGTAGCCCCATGTAGAGCGCATTGCAATAATCTAACTGTGAGGTGACAAGGGCATGAGTGACTGTGAGGATCAGTCATTGGTGTTTTTTTCTTACTGTTATTCTTTTGTTTTTATATTTAGGTGCGAGTAGCTGCCTTACAGAACTTGGTGAAGATTATGTCCCTTTATTATCAATACATGGAAACATATATGGGCCCTGCACTTTTTGCTGTGAGTATTCACAAGTGGAATTTGAGATTAAATATTTATGTTCAAGACCAAGTATCACATGATGGAGTGAACTTCTAGTACTTGCTGCAGCTCCTGTCAAACTAGCAGTTGAAAAGCATGTAAATGCAAGTAGATAAATAGATCTCACTTCAGTGGGAAAGTAACAATGTTCCGTGCATATAGTCATGTCAGCCACATGACCATGGAAACAATATCTCTGGCTGTGAGTCAGAGATGAGCATTGCCCCCTAGAGTCAGACAAAATTGGCAGAGGAAAGCTTTACCTTTTTTTATTTATGTGCTTTAAATTACTGTAAATTCCTTGCTGGAGCAGAAAATACTGGTTTAACACTGCTTTTGTTTTTCTAAAGATCACAATTGAAGCCATGAAAAGTGATATTGATGAAGTGGCTTTACAAGGTATAGAGTTCTGGTCAAATGTCTGTGATGAAGAAATGGACCTGGCTATAGAAGCTTCAGAAGTAAGTCAAACAAACTACAAATCAAATAAACTAAAGAGTTGCAAATATTACCGTATTTTCCAGCGTATAAGATGACTTTAACACATGAAAATCTTCTCAAAAGTCGGGGATCGTCTTATACGCCGGGTGTTGTTCTTCTGTAACCAGGCAGACCATCCCGAAAGGCTCTGACGATCCTAGCTGAATTGCCTGCTAATCAGGCAACTCAGCTTGGATCTCCAGAGCCATTTAAAAAAGTTTTTTCTTTTAAATGGCTCTGACTGCCTGCTAATTGGTAGCAAAAATCCTTTCTTCCCCCCCCCCCCCGCCCGCCCGCCAGCTTGCTTACCTTAGCTGCTAATCGCAACGCTTGCCTTGCTTCGCTTGCCTACAATCAATTGCATCAGCAAGCAACTGAATCTCCCTGCCTGCAATCAAGCAGGCAGGGAGTTGTGGACTTCAACTCCCAGAATTCCTCAGCCAGCAAAGCAAAGCTGGCTGAGGAATTTGCCAAGGTTGGAGACCCCTGTTCTATTGGGTAAGTTTTTTTCCCCTTTGGGAGTTTTAAAAAAAAAAGTTAATTGGGTTTTTTTTTTAGTTGTTCTTTTTTAGACCTAGCCATTTAAAGTTTAGGAAGTTTTAAATTTAGCTGCTTTTATATAAAAATAAAAATAAAATAAAATAAAATATTTGTGTAGGTTTCTGAGATTTTGTGTTTCTGTAGTATTTCACTCTAACTATACAAACACTCAAAATCTCACAAAACCGTATGTGGAATTTTGTGTGTGTAAAGTGTGAAAGTTGGTTTTTGGGACTTTTGGTGGCTGTGTGAGGTTCCTGCTTGTTGCAGGGGCCATTTTGGGTCTAGCACAGCTTCTTTTACATTGTGGGTGAGCCAGTTGTGTTGTGTTGTATGTGTGTATTTTTATTAATTTTATTTTATTTTATTTTTATTTGGTGTGAGTTGGAAGAGGGATAGTCTTATACGGCGAGTATAGCCCAAACCCTATATTTTAACAGGAAAAGTCAGGGGTTGTCTTATATGCCGGAAAATACGGTACATTTTCTGACTCTACTAATTATGACAGTTCTGTTTTACAACAATCTTTGGTCTATGATGAAACATCATGCACCACGCTGACTAAAGTGATGCATACATCTGTAAATGTTGAGACCCAAGGTTGCTAATACTGAGAATTTTTTTTTGCATTGCAATGTATATTTGAAAGATTATAGACAGATTTTCACACGTATAAGCATTATAATAGCACTCTATTTCTGCTGCATTCAACTTTTGTTACTCATGATTGGGTCACATCTTAGAAGTGTGCGCCAGTTGCTACATTCATATTTTTTGACAAACATTTCTTGCACACAGCTCATACTACCAATCAATTTCCTGTTTTCGGTAAATGTTCTATTATTTCAAAATGATGTTAATTTTTGGCTATTTGCTGCAATTTACCTGATTTTTTTCTTTTTAAATCAAGCATAGTCATGATATTTGACAGATTACTTTTCAAACCTTTACTTCATATAGGGTTTAGTAAAAATAATTTAGGTTGCAAACAAGCAGAATAGCATTGCCTGCTCATAAACGTACATGCTCATATTCTTATCTCCAACCACATATATTTTTTAATATTGGTGCCATTATTTCTTTTACGTGAATACATCGAGCAACTAAGAAGACAACATACATTGTTGTCTTATTCTCTTATTATTCAGTTTGAACAATTGCTAAGCATTCCATTTGCTCTTAAGTATGCTTTATTTCCATCATGTACCTGGCTTGTTGCATTTAAACTTCGACTTTCAACTTCATTTTCATGCAAAATATTCATAATTCAAGCCTATTGATCATATATAATTCTATTCTTTAACGTACTGCTATAACTCCTAAATAAATCTACCGTATCATTATCATTCCCAAATGTAAAATTGAGTCTGTAGGGGCTTGAGTGGGTTGCAATGGGTTCCAATTCAATCCAAGCAAGATGGAGTGGCTTTGGATATTTAGTCTGCCTGGGAATGAGCTTCTTCCATCTTTGATATGAATAGGGAAGCTTTGTTCTAGAGATTCAGAGAATAATTTTGAGTTCCCCTTGGACTTGGGTTTGAAGAGCAGGTTGCAGCTGTGTCTAAGAGGGCCTTTGCATATCTCAGACATGTGCACCAGTTGCGTCTATTTTTGTATAAGGCTTTGCTAATAGTCACTCATGTCCTCTTTACCTCTCATTTGTTTTCTGCAATGCACTCTATATGGGACTACTCGTGAAGAGCTTTCAGAAGTTTCTTTAAAAAGTCCAGTCTATCATGTATTGATTCTGCTGTCTCCAAGTCATTAGAATTCATGCGCCTTTAAGCTTTCTCGAACAAGCCTTTCGTTTTCAAACCAGACTCCTTCTTCAAATCTATTTATCTAACAAATTAGATAAATCTATAAATCTAACAAATTAGATTCCAATCATCTGATTGCAAGTCTGGTTTAGCTGCCGTTACTTGTATTAGAGTATCATTTTTGGTTATTATTTTATCAAACTTTTTATCTAAGTTTTCAATTTTAGCTTTTAAGTTAAAAATCATTTTTCCAAAGGCTTCTTAAAGGTTTTTACCCTTATCATTTGCATTTTTAATGCAATATATTAGGAATAGTTATAGGAAAGCTCCTATTATTGAGCTTTCACAAAAAGAAACATTTCCTGTCAAGGACAGGGTAAGTAGATGTACCATAACAGAAAAAAAAAAAAGAGATATCTCACAATGAAAAGTGAATAGAAAACAGAAATTCCAATCAGAAGTTAAAAGAAATAAGACCAGAGCTTTTAAAAAGTAATATAATATAAAATACTATGAAAATTCAATGTAAATGTAAATCAAATCCGATCACTTTCACTAGCTAGGAAATCACTGTTACCTTCCATACAGTGAAAGCACCCTTGAACTCAAAATTAAGCAATAAAAAGACATAAAAAATTCACATTAAAATCCAGCAAAGGATTAGAATAAACCAGCATTCAACAGTAGATTAACAGTTACAGATAAAAGGAAACTTCAAAATGTGTAATTAAAACTGAGACATGCTTAAAAAAACAAAAGGAAAGGATGGAGACTTGACCATCCAGATACTCCTACCGAAAATTGCAGTTGTTGAGATTCTTCTTCCCAGGTAGGTCCATGGTCATTTGCATAAATATATGTTAGCAAACAACTTTGCAGTATAATGTTATTCTCAAGAGATTTTCAAAGGAAAACATACATATCTCAGTTCAGATAGGGAAGGGGGACAAATACACGTTTAGTTGAAATTAAGACATTTGTATTATTTTTTTTGCAGGCAGCAGAACAAGGACGGCCTCCAGAGCATACTAGTAAATTCTATGCCAAGGGTGCTCTCCAGTATCTAGTCCCAATTCTGACCCAAACATTGACAAAGCAGGTAAGTAATATATATGTTCTCCAATGTACAGGTCATCCTTGGGATCAGCAATTATGTTGCTTAGTGATACATCATCAAGTATATATACTATATAGACAGATATATATATATATACACACACACACACACACAAGCATAGACACACACCATATATAACAACAGATCTACAGCCTCACTTCTGCTGTTGTTGTTAAGACATCATGTAATTGCTTCTTCATTGACTCTGCCTGTTAGAAGCTGGTTGTGAATCCTGCATATGGTAACCTGCCATAAATTGTAAACACTTGCCAGCTGTGAAGCACCTGAATTTCAGTCACGTGATTCCAGGAAAACTGCAACATCGTAGGAGATTGACTTAGTTGTAAAGTTACTTTTTCAGTGTTGTTGTAACTTTAGTCACTAAATGGTCATTAAGCAAAGTACTACCTGTAGTTTCAGGGCCTATAGTTTTCATCAGCTTGGTATCCTGCAAGCTATATTGAAATTCATCTCCTAGTATATTTTATTGTTTGGTCTGGTTTTACAGATAGGTAATTAAAATCTTGGCAGACATCAGGTTGGAGAGGACTGGCATAATAATTATTGTGAAAAAATTAAGAACAAGCCTAAAGTGTCCTGGTCTGCAGAAAAAGCCCTGTGTGTGCTAATTTCAGATAGTTTTTAGTTTAATCTATAACTTTTATACACAAAGATTATGAAATACTTGTGGTAATCCTATAGAGATTGCATTCATTCATAAATTGGTAGTGCATCATAATAAGAATTACGCACTTCTGATTTATGAATATATGCAATCTCTTACCTCATAGCCATATAGTATTCCAAAATTATTGCATACTGTCCATTGTCCAGTTGGAGATAGGTGCTTGCAGAAATACTCTGACCTGAACAGAGTAAAAGGTATTTCTTATTTCCCTTCTTGCTTCTCTTTTAAATTATATTTTATCAGTCTCTATAATTTAAAAAGCATTATTTTGACAACCTATACTAATTTTATATTACTGTGGCAGTCGTGGCTACACTGAAGCCTCAACTGTTGATATTAAAAATATAATTCAGTTAATCTTCGGTTATATCCATCTCCGTTGTATCACTCTTACCACTTTTCTTTTAAAGGAATCATTCAGTTATTTACCTGTCATTAAATTGACTATCAGATCACTATCTTATTACTGAGTTTTTGGCAAATGTTGGGGTAGTGTTCAAAATCAGACAAATTTTTCCTAATTTCCCAAATTAGGAAATATTGAATTGTTATGAGATTATCAAATACTTTGAGAAATCAGTGTTCCTACCTGAAATCTAATCAGATTTATTATAAAATGATTTTAGATATTTAAAATATAATCCTGAATATTATTTCTTCCCATTTTTCTCCATTTAGGATGAGAATGATGATGACGACGACTGGAACCCCTGTAAAGCTGCCGGGGTCTGCTTGATGCTTCTGGCAACCTGTTGTGAGGACGACATTGTACCTCACGTTTTGCCCTTCATTAAAGAACACATAAAAAATATTGACTGGCGATATCGAGATGCTGCTGTCATGGCATTCGGATGCATTTTAGAAGGCCCAGAACCAAACCAGCTAAAACCTCTTGTCATTCAGGTGAGAAAGGCTTGTGCTAAAAATACAAGTCCATTTCTTTCAAAATGAAGGCTTGCAAACTAGACAACTGGTTTGTAAATATATTAATTATGTTATAAATAATAATAATATTATTATAATAATAATATTAATTGACTAAAAAACACTTCATAATATTCTGAGAATAGCAGGTTCATGAGGAAAATAGCAAGGACCAGGTATGTACTTGACATGTTGAATTGACCCTAAGGTCAAAAGGAATTTATCTTAAATGTACTACACATTTTGATTTGTTGTCATTATTTTGATCAAATGAGTATGTGCCACAATTGCAATACTGTTGGTGCAACCATTTTATACAAAAGGCCTGAAAGCCTTGCAGCATAATATATTGCTCTGGTACTACAAAGTGACAGGAGCCTCTCAGAGGCTCCATTCCATTTTCCTCCCAGAAAAGGACACATGACAAGAAAAGACAACTATTATAATCATATTCTGCTTTAATTTCTTGTGATCGGAGAAGTGATTGGGTTCCTCTGCCTTCTGCAATGATTTTGAGGAGTAAGCGATGGGGAGATAGTCTATCCCATTTCTTGCAAACCACCATATTTGAAGAATATATTTTTATTAGCTGAAATATTGGCAAATCATATCAGATTCTGATACCACTTTATAAAAATAAATACAGAACAACTTACTTATATAATTCTTACTTATTCTGTGTTAGTATTGTATTGGTTTTGTTTCATTCTGAGAACTGCCAATGGAGGGACACCTTTCTAGCAGACAAAGCAAAAGATTCAGAACTGGTGCAAAGCAATATTGGTGCAGTATACAGTGGGGTAAAGAAGTATTTAGTCAGCCACCAATTGTGTATGTTCTCCCACTTAAAAAGATGAGAGAGGTCTGTAATTGACATCTTAGGTAGACCTCAACTATGAGAGACAAAATGAGAAAACAAATCCAGACAATCACATTGTCTGATTTGGAAAGAATTTATTTGCAAATTATGGTGGAAAATAAGTATTTGGTCAATATCAAAAGTTCATCTCAATACATTGTTATATATCCTTTGTTGGCAATGACAGAGGTCAAACGTTTTCTGTAATTCTTCACAAGGTTGGCACACACTGTTGCTGATATGTTGGCCCATTCCTCCATGCAGATCTCCTCTAGAGCAGTGATGTTTTGGGGCTGTCGCTGGGCAACACGAGCTTTCAACTCCCTCCAAAGGTTTTCTATGGGGTTGAGATCTGGAGACTGCCTAGGCCACTCCAGGACCTTGAAATGCTTCTTACGAAGCCACTCCTTCGTTGCCCAGGCGGTGTGTTTGGGATCATTGTCATGCTGAAAGACCCAGCCACGTTTCATCTTCGGTGCCCTTGCTGATGGAAGGAGGTTTGCACTCAAAATCTCAAGATACATGGCCCCATTCATTCTTTCCTGTACACAGATCAGTCTCCTGGTCCCTTTGCAGAGAAGCAGCCCCAAAGCATGATGTTGCCACCCCCATGTTTCGCAGTAGGTATGGTGTTCTTTGGATGCAACTCAGCATTCTCTCTCATCCAAACATGACGAGTTGTGTTTCTACCAAACAGTTCTACTTTGGCTTCATCTGACCATATGACATTCTCTCAATCCTCTTCTGGATCATCCAAATGCTCTCTAGCAAACTTCAGACGGGCCCGGACATGTATGGCTTAAGCAGGAGGACCCGTCTGGCACTGCAGGATCTGAGTCTCTGGCGGCGTAGTGTGTTACTGATGGTAGCCTTTGTTACGTTGGTCTCAGCTCTCTGCAGGTCATTCACTAGGTCCCTCTGTGTGGTTCTGGGATTTTTGCTTACCGTTCTTGTGATCATTTTGACTCCACGGGAGTGAGATCTTCCGTGGAGCCCCAGATCGAGGGAGATTATCAGTGGTCTTGTATGTCTTCCATTTTCTAATTATTGCTCCCACAGTTGATTTCTTCACACCAAGCTGCTTGCCTATTACATATTCAGTCTTCCCAGCCTGGTGCAGGTCAACAATTTTGTTTCTGGTGTCCTTCAACAGCTCTTTGATCTTCACCATAGTGGAGTTTGGAGTGTGACTGTTTGAGGTTGTGGACAGGTGTCTTTTCTACTGATAACAAGTTCAAACAGGTGTCATTAATACAGGTAATGAGTGGAGGACAGAGGAGCCTCTTAAAGAAGAAATTACAGGTCTGTGAGAGCCAGAAATCTTGCTTGTTTGTAGGTGACCAAATACTTATTTTCCACCATAATTTGCAAATAAATTCTTTCCAAATCAGACAATGTGATTGTCTGGATTTGTTTTCTCATTTTGTCTCTCATAGTTGAGGTCTACATATGATGACAATTACATGCCTCTCTCATCTTTTTAAGTGGGAGAACTTGCACAATTGGTGGCTGACTAAATACTTTTTTGTCCCACTGTAGATGAACTATATTTTTCTTGCACTTTTGTGATACATACTACAGTAATTCAAAACATCCTATACACCTTTTCCCTAGCTCCTATAATTTAAACTGAAAGAGATTGACATGTCAGACTTACTTTCAGTTGATTTTGTGCCTAATTCAAGGGATTAGTGATTGCCTTTAAAATACTATATTGCCTTGCATTGAATCAAAGATATGAAAAGAATCATTTCCAGTTGTGATCCAGTTTGCGTCCTGAGATTTGTGAAAAAGATTTCTTTTTTTTAATTTTGTTTAAATCAAGTGAGAAAATTTAAAAAATGATTCAAAGACTTGGTATCTGTAAGTGGACAAAGAAATTACAAAAGTTATATAATTAGGACTCAGTACATTGGTGCTGAAAAATTAACCATAAAAAAGAAAATACTTGAAGTTTTTAACAATAAGCAAAAAGGTTTTTAGAGATCTTTTTGAAGAGTGTCAGTTTCCACCATTTTGTTTTTTAAAGTTTTCATTTAAAAAAAAAGAATACTGAAACATTACAGATAAATATTTAATTTATAATTTGTATTTCTGATTTCAGCTCCACTTTTTTTCCCTTTAAAAATGTACTCTAAATACTTAAATTTGTCTAATTGCATTCCCTCATTTAGATCCATTCACAATAATGAAAAAGCAACTTTACAACCAATCCTTGCATTTACTATAAAGCAAAGGAAAGCTGAAGACTTTCAGTTTCTCTTAACTGCTTTGCAGTTAAGTACCCAGTCCTAACTGCAGTTGCTAAATAAAAAGCACTACAGTATGTAATATATATGGAAGCCATTTTTTGTTTAAATTGTCAAATTTCTGTTATGAATATATGCTGTTAATTTTGCAGTTACTGTACATTCTGCACATTTAAGTCTGAAATTACTAACATATCAGAAAATAAACATTTTCTGATACTATGTTAAGTTTGCCATTTCAGCCATGAACCTAAGTAATTTTATATATGTATACATACACTGTGCACAATTATTAGACAAGTATTTTAGAGGATTAATTTAATTATTGAACAATAATTAAATTGTTCAATATTGACGGTTATTATTAACGAGGATCTGGGTCCGAGGGAGACCACTGTGCCTCAGATAGCCGGATGTGAGTCCCTCCTTGTGAGGTGGGGTCATGGGGTTCAGATGGGCTTGTTGCTTACGTACCTGGCTCCCTGCCGCGTGGCAACAGCCCTACCTGAGCTACTCGACGTGATAGCCACGGTGGCAGTAGATACACCCAGGCTTTTAGTCATGGGTGATTTCAACTTGCCATCCGCTGGTGAAACGTCTGAGGTGGCTCGGGAGTTCATGGCTTCCATGACGGCCATGGACCTGACCCAGTTAGTTCATGGCCCTACTCACAGGGGAGGTCACACTCTGGACCTGATTTTTGTCTCTGGCCAGTGGTTGAGTGGTCTTGTTATTGGGGATATAGACATGGAACTCTTGTCATGGACTGACCACTCACTCCTTCGCCTGGATCTTTGAACCGCTGCCCCCCGCCGCAGGGAGGCGGATCCAATTAGATGGATCCGCCCCAGGCGCCTGATGGATCCTGAGAGGTTCCAGATGGAGCTTGGGCCATTTCCTGAGGTTCTAGCACATGACTCGGCCGAGGACCTGGTAGCCGCCTGGGATCGGGCGGCTGGTGGGGCCTTGGACCGAGTCGTGCCTTTGCGGCTTCTGACCCAGTGCCGATCCCGTGCGGCTCCTTGGTTCACTGAGGAGCTGAGGGAAATGAAGCGCCGGAAAAGTCGCCTGGAGAGCGGTTGGAGGGCCAGTCTCGCTGAATCTGATCGAACACTGGTAAGGTCGCATATTAAGACCTACCTAGTGGCGATAAAGACGGCAAAGTTTAATTACTTTTCCGCCTCTATTGCGTCATCAGGGAATCGTCCGGCCGCCCTGTTTAGGGTGACCCGCTCCCTGCTCCATCCGGGAGTGCGGGAGGATCCCTTGGAAGGCAGGGCGGAGGATTTTGGACAATACCTGTATGACAAAATCGCTCAGATCTGGGGGGATTTGGACTCTGACTGGGTAGATCAGGGCAGAGTGACGAGGAATAGTCTTGGGAATGTTATCTGGGAGAAGTTTGACGCTGTGACTCCCGATGATGTGGACAGGATTTTGGGGAGACTTAGTGCGGCCACATGTTTACTGGACCCGTGTCCCTCCTGGTTGGTATTGGCTTCCCGGGAGGTTACACGAGGCTGGCTCCAGGGTGTTATCAAGGCTTTGCTGAGTGAGGGCCACTTCCCCGCTGCCTTGAAAGAGGCGGTGGTGAGGCCTCTCCTCAAGAAGCCGTCCCTGGATCCGGCAATATTGGCCAACTACCGTCCTGTCTCCAACCTTCGCTTCATGGCGAAGGTTGTTGAGAGTGTGGTCGCGCGACAGTTCCCACAATTCCTGGAGGAAACATCTTATCTAGATCCGTTCCAGTCGGGTTTCAGGTCTGGGCACAGCACCGAAACGGCATTGATCGCGTTGGTTGATTATCTCTGGAGGGCTCGGGACAGGGGCTGCTCCTCTATTCTGGTCCTGTTAGATCTCTCAGCGGCTTTTGATACCATCGACCATGGTATCATGCTGCACCGGCTGGAAGAGTTGGGGGTGGGAGGCACCGTGTTGCGGTGGTTCTCCTCCTTTCTCTCCGACCGGTCGCAGTTTGTGTTGGCAGGGGGGCAGAGATCGACCTCGAGGCCTCTCATCTGTGGAGTGCCGCAGGGATCGGTCCTCTCGCCCCTTCTGTTCAACATTTATGTAAAGCCGCTGGGCGAGATCATCCGTGGCTTCGGGGTGAGATACCACCAGTACACTGATGACACCCAGCTGTACATCTCCACCTCAGGCCACCCCAATGATGCCCTTGAAGTGATGTCCCAGTGCCTGGAGGCCGTGCGGATCTGGATGGGGAGGAACAGGCTCAAGCTCAACCCTTCCAAGACTGAGTGGCTGTGGCTCCCGGCATCCCGATATAGTCAGTTGACTCCATCACTGACTATTGGGGGCGAGTCTTTGGCCCCCATAGAAAGGGCTCGCAATCTGGGAGTCCTCCTGGATATGCAGCTGTCCTTGGAGGAACATCTGACAGCTGTAACTAGGGGGACCTTTTGTCAGGTTCGCCTGATTCGCCAGTTGCGGCCCTTTCTTGATCGGGATTCTCTGTGCACAGTCACTCATGCCCTCGTCACCTCTCGCCTTGACTACTGCAATGCTCTCTACATGGGGCTCCCCTTGAAGAGCACCCGGAGGCTCCAACTGGTCCAGAATGCAGCAGCACGGGTAGTGATGAGAGCAGCATGGCGCTCCCATGTAACACCGCTCCTGCGCGAGCTGCACTGGCTCCCAGTGGTCTTCCGGGTGCGCTTCAAGGTGTTGGTTATTACCTTTAAAGCGCTCCATGGCATCGGGCCTAGCTATCTTCAAGACCACCTGCTGCTACCGATGACCTCCCATCGTCCCGTACGCTCCCACAGAGAGGGCCTCCTCAGGGTGCCATCAGCCAATCAATGTAGGCTGGTGACTCCCAGGGGGAGGGCCTTCTCTGTGGGGGCACCTACCCTCTGGAATCAGTTGCCCCCAGAGATAAGGAGAATCCAAGACCTCAGTGCCTTCCGTCGTGCCCTTAAAACCCACTTTTTCCAGCAAGCCGGGCTGGCTTAAGAAGAAATTGTAAATGTTTTAATTGGTTTGTATTTTTAATTTTGGGCCAAATTTATATATATTTTAATTGTTTTTAATATTTGTATTTCATGTTTTTTAATTCTGGCTGTACACCGCCCTGAGTCCTCAGGGAGAAGGGCGGTATATAAATTTAAAAATAAATAAATAAATACAGTGCTCTCGGTCAGTCCAACTTTTAAACCTCAAAACTGAATATTTAAGTAAAAAGTAAAAGTGAGATTTTGGCTTTCTTAGGAGAATATCTGAGTACACAATTATTAGGCAACTATTAGTGTGCAGAAATATTATGCAACTAAATGAAAAATTTCCTATCATTTATTTGCATATGTTAAAATGAGAATAATAAACAAACAACTCAAAATATACAAATAAACACTGCATTCAAAAAAAAAAAACAGTGACCAAAATAGCCACCCTTCTTTTCAATAATAGCCATAAGCCTTCCATTCATGAAGGCTTTATCAGTTTCTTGATCTGTTGATGATCACATTTTTGTGCAGCAGCAACCACAGTCTCCCAGACACTTTTCAAAGAGTTGTATTGTTTTCCTTCTCTGTAAATCTCCTGTTTAAGAAGGGCCCACAAGTTCTCAATAGGGTTTAAGTTAGGCGAGGAAGGGGGCCATGTCATTATTTTTTCATCTTTAATATCTTTACTGGATAGCCACCCAGTGGAGTACTTCGATACATGCGATGGAGCATTGTCCTGCATAAACATCATGGTCTTCTTGAAAGATGCAGACTTTTTCCTGTACCACTGCTTAAAAAAAGGGTCTTCTAAAAACTGGCAGTAAGTTTGGGAGTTAATTTCAACGTCTTCAACGTGAAAAGGTCCAACTAGCTCATCTTTAATAATACCAGCCCATACCAGTACCACACCTCACTTTGCTGGCATCTGAGTTGAAGTGGTGCCTGTTATTGATCCAGCCACGGGCCCATCCATCTGGTCTGTCAGGAATCACTCTCATCAGTCCATAAAAGCTTTGAAAAATCTGTCCAGATATTTCTTGGTCAAGTCTTGCCATTTCAATTTAAGTGCCTTGTTCAGTGCTGGTTGGGTTTCAGCCTTCCTTACCTTGGCCATGTGTCTAAGCATTGAACACCTTGTACTTCTGGGCACTCCAGGTAGGTTGCAGTTCTGGAATATGACAGCACGGGGGGATAATGGGTTCCTGGTATTTCATGTTTGATTCCACTCAAATCTTTGGCAGTTAATGTGCATCTTTTTTTCTCAACCTGACCCTGTTGACTATTTGCAACAAAAAGTTTGATGGTTCTGTTATCACGCCCCAATATCTTAACAATTTCAAGAATGCTGCATCCCTCTGAAAGACTTAACAATTTTCAGAGTCGGTTAAATCTCTTTTTTGGCTCATTTTGTCTGAGGAAAAAAAGCTGCCTGAAAATTATGCTTTGATATAGGGTGTTGATCTCCTTAGGCCACACACTTATTACATAAATACACATCACCTGATATGCTTATATCCACTAAGCATTCAAGTTTATACAGCTTGGAGGTGGAAAATATGCATAAAAACGATGATATTGTCAAAATACTCACTTGCCTAATAATTGTGCACACAGTGTATACGTATGTATATAAGTAATAACTTCAGGTTGGCACCTTGGTAGTCCTCTCTGCCGTTTAACTTTCAACCTTTTTTATCCTTGTTTTTACTATCTCCTTTTATTAAGATATCATATTTTATATGGTTTTTAGGATATTTTTTTAATTGTATCCTGCCCAGAATCTCTGTGTCAGTAAGTTGGACAGTACCTACATTTGACAAATAAATAAATGTCCATAACATACAATAAGAATTTTTTCCTCTCCTCTAAGCTTTCATGTTAATATGTCCAGCGTCTTCCCTCCCTACTTGTATTCTGCCCCAGATATTGCTTTCATTTTGCTCGGTTATTAATAACTAATCCCAGTACCTGGGCATTAGATGCTAATATTGTCAGTGTTTTATTGTTTATTGTTTAAGATTCATTAAATACTTTGCAAGTTTTATTGTGCGTAAGATTTGCTAAATTGGCTCAAGTTTGCTTGTTCATATTTGAATACTGAATATTTCATGGCAAACCATTGAACTTGAAATCTCTGTGTCATATATTTCAGCTACAATGTTACATTATTCAATATTTTGGAGTAACTCTTATTGGAGTAGCTTATGCTTCCATAGGGGCCTAATTGGTAAGAATATACCTTACAACTTGCCTGGCCTGAGATCTAACTGAAGAGCTGAAGAAGACAGTTTGAAATACAGGGATTTTGAAAATTACTTTAGACATGAAAAGTCTAAACCAGATTGACAGTGGACCATTTTTCTCCTAGGCTATGCCTACTCTTATAGAGTTAATGAAGGACCCCAGCGTTGTCGTCAGAGATACAACCGCCTGGACTGTGGGTCGGATCTGTGAGCTGTTACCTGAGGCAGCCATAAATGATATTTATCTTGCTCCGTTGCTGCAGTGTCTAATTGAAGGCTTGAGTGCAGAGCCAAGAGTGGCCTCCAATGTATGCTGGGTAAGTGAGAATTCTTATTCTGAATAAACATTTGAGTGCTGGATAAATTAGAAAAAGAGAACTTGTTGTTTTGAATCTGCACTTGCTCTGTACAGGTAGTAATCCTTGACTTATGACCACAATTGGGATCAGAATTTCTATCACTAAACAATGCAATTAAGTATTTATGATCATTTTTTTGCCATGGTTGTTAAGCAAATCATTGTAGTCATTAAGCAAATTTGGCTTTCCCATTTATTTTGCTTGTCAGAAGCCCTCTGGGAAGGTTGTATATGATGATCATGTGACCTCAGAATAGTGCAACTATCATAAATACATTCTGGTTGCCAAGCGGGTAAATTTTGATTATGTGACCATGAGGCATATTACAATAGTCATAAGTTACTTTTTTCAGCATCGTCATAATTTCGAATGGTTGTTATTTCAATGGTCATAACTTGAGAATACTATGTATAAAGATACAGATAAAACAATGGTGCTAAGGCAAAAAATGTGATTGGGCCTATTGTTTGACTTCTTAATGATCAAATAATGGAGCAGGAAAATGTTAAAGAAAGATGCAAGGTTAGAGTCAACATTAGGAAATTAATTTCTTAGGCTGAAAACGGTAACGTACCAAAATAGGAAACTTCCTGAAATTGTCAACTTCTAAATTACTGACACCTAATATCTTTCAGGCTTTCTCTAGTTTGGCAGAAGCTGCTTATGAAGCTGCTGATGTAGCTGATGATCAAGAAGAGCCTGCAACATACTGCTTATCCTCATCCTTTGAATTAATTGTTCAAAAACTTTTAGAGACCACAGACAGGTAACTGAATAATTTTTTATCCATTCGACCATGTCTGCTGACCAATGAACTTCAGGAAATACTCAAGAGTTTCATTTTATAAAATCTCCACAACTTCTGAAGAGTAAGGTGTAATATTACTAGGTTGATTTTGTAATTATTGGGAATTCTTTACATGTACTATAATTCCACAAAATTGCAGAAAAGCTACAGACATGCAGCTTTTGGCACAAGCCATATTGTTGCAAAGTTCAAATTCAAATGTGTATGAATAATATCCATTAAAACAATACAGTAGAGAGAAAGAATTATGAAATTTACTTGGAAGTCCTAAGCCATTAACAATAGAAGCAGCACAAATTATATATGAGAAAATATGAAAAAATCGTGCAAGTTTATTTAACACATAATTTACTTAGGTTGCAGGGTTATGATCCTGTTTTGATAGAATATAGAACTTGGGCAGAATTTTTTTTCCCAAGATCAAGCATATGGAACAATAAAATATAAGCACTTTGAAAAATCTGCATTTAATCTCTGATTTTAAACACTTGACTAAACTTTGCAACTAATTTAGCTGATTTTTCACTAAATTTCGCAACAAAATAGAGCATTGAGCTATATGTAATATTAAAACAATTCAGCACGTTCAAGCTTTGCATCTTCTTTTATCTCCTTTTATATTTCAGTTTAAAATATTGTCTATCTAAAAATGATCATCAAATAATTTGTCCTCTTTTTTTATTATGAACTCCACAGGTTAAAAATGGGAGAGCAGTTTAGAATAAAATAAGCAGGGTTTTTATTTTGCCTAGATTTCATGATTTTCTTTCCAAAATCAAAAATAAAGGCTAAGTCTTCATTGGTTTCTCCCTACCTGTCAGTAATATGCATCGAAACAGTTAAAGTTCCTGACTATGAGCTTTGGTTTCATGGGAAAAAAAGATGTATATGCTGTTGAATGAACAGGTATGACCTGTGGTGGTAGGTTTTAGATCTCATTTACAAAATACCAAGACAGTTTTTAAAAAACTACCATATCCATCAGAAGATTTCAGAGACATACTTCTTAAACAATATAGAATTATTTAAATCACTATTGAATATATATGTAAATTACTTGACCTAATTAAACTATTTATTTGCTTAACATATTTCCTGAATTACTATTTTCATGCTCTGGTCAAGAGAATTTTGTTTTATTACTACTTAATGCTTACAGATTGTAAATTTATACATACCTGGTTATTGCAACAGGAACTAACTTAGTTTCAGTAATATCCCTGCCTCCAAACTGAACCAATATAATTCAGATTCTGTGATATGTTTATCTGATTTTATAAGCTAACAGCCCTTGGAGAATACTCTTATTTCATCACTATTAGACATTTTGCAAGCAATTCTGCAATGTTTATGGATAAACTCCTTTGCATAATTTAATGTGATTTTACTATTCTAATTCAGTACTAGCTTTCAAGTTTTTTAAAGTGCAATTACTGTACAAGTAGTACAATAATTGCAGTAATTACTGTACACCTACAAATTTTTTGTTCAGCAATCATTCAAACTTATGACAGGGTGAAAAAATAACTTACAGCCTACTTATGATCTTCACAATGTCCTTCAATCACCATTAAAGTAAGCATATGTGTCCTGTGCCTGATTCATGATCACATAAGGTGCTCACTTAGCAACCTGTGCAATCCCCACTTAACAATGGCAACGGAAACTGCCAGGACTGCTCTACTAAGCAACACATTACACTTTATGATCTTCTCACTTAATAATGGCAATTTCTGTCAAAATCCAAGGACTACCTATACTGTTACTTGTTTTTATTTATTTATTACATGTATTTATATGCCGCCATTCTCCCGAAGGACTCAGGGCAGCGAACACAAGTTAAGAAACAAGTACAATAAAATCCCATTTTAAACCAAATAACTAATTAATAGTAAATAATAAAACCCGGAATCAGAGTCAGCCTATTTGTTTGAACAGCCAAGTCTTCAGGTCCCGACGGAAGGAACGGAGATCATATTTTGCTGTATAAGATCATTCATATTCTAGATCTAGTCTTAACACCCAGTGTCTTATAAAGTATTGAACTACTATATTGGATGTGTGATTAGACTTCCATAGCAATTAGTTTGGATACATTGGGATACTGTAGATAAAATACATTACTCTGAAACAATAGGCACAAATTTCCTGTCTCAGCCAAACAAAAAAATTGGACTTTTTGCAAATGTATATGGAGATTCTTTAGTCATCCAGATCATGGTTGTCCCAAAGATGCTTTTTCAAGAGGCAACTGGACTTTTTTTTTTCTTTGAAGATATTTCACTTCTCAACCAAAAAAACTTCTTCAGCTCTGACTGAAAGGTGGGAAATGGAAGGATTTAAATTCTTTAGGGACAGCTGGTCATTTGCATTCTTTTAGAGAATTCTTGGGGGGTTTGTCGGTGTCCTCTGGATCACTTGAATAATGCAAATGGATGTGAGCCTTCTTGGAACTGCTGAAAGGATTGTGTTGTGGAGCTGTGCTTTCTGCAGGATGTTTCTGCCCTGTGACCCTTCACTGTTGAACACAGGCACAGGCTTTGTGGGTGAGTGCATTGTCTGCATCTCAAACTGAAGCGCAAATGGTTCCTTGTAGCCTGCAGTTTTTCTGGAAATCTCTTCATGTTCCTGCACCATTTGAAGGGTGTTCATCCCAAAGTACATAGCTAAACGTCTATGGAGATTATCTGTCATCGAGGTTGTCCAAAGGTGCTTCAGTGACCCTGAGGACAAATCCCCATGTGGCCTCAACGACTTTCTAAAAGAATGCAAATGACCAGCTGTCCGCAAGTAATATAAATCCTTCCATTCGCCACCATCCAGTCAGAGCTGAAGAAGCTTCTTGAATAAAAATAAAGTACTCTTTAAAAAGAGTACCTTTGGGACTTTTTCTAAAGTTTTCTTGAATAGCGACACCCCCTCCCCCTGATCTGATTTAAAATCAGTTCAATATATTTTATTCCATAATGTCCAAATAAATACCAAGAGACATGGTAAATGCAATGCTTTGATGAGACTTCCAGGTTCGGAAGGATGACTTTTTTTCTAATAGCATGGTAATAGAATAGAAGTGATACTGAACAAACAAACAAAAAACCATTTTGTTCTGAGCTGAAGTTAAATAGCCCACTCAATACATTCTTGTAGAACATTTTGTGTGACTTGTGTTCCAATGGAACTTAACCAAAATATTTTTGACTGTTTTGTCATTTACATATAATATAGTAAATAAAGAATTAGCCCACACACACCCCAGTTTTCATCCTGGGATCCCAAAATTAGTGGAGCAGCAATCAGTGCTATCTGTGTTTGATCTATAGAAAATTGACTTGGGGGTAAAACATGTTAAAAATTAAAATAGTAAAAAGCAGTTAAAACTACTTTTTATAATCTGCCTGTTCAAGTCATAATAGACTTGAGCTAACAAAAGAGCAAAACGCTGAGTTCTGTATATTTCACAGACAACACATTGTATAATGATCTTATACAATAACTGTAAAAGTGCATGTACATGTGCAGTGTACATTTTATATCCATTAATCTTCCTGAAGAAAAAATATTCAGAGACAATATTGCATTATGATTCATAGATTAATTTTCTCATACCAAAGAATTTACAAGTAGTGTCGTATGTCACAGAAAGCAGTACTTATCTTTTTTGTGATTGGCCATCTTGAATTATGTATAATGTGCTATCATGACCTCAGAACCAACAGCATTTAAGCCAAATGAATTAATTACTGCCCCAATAGCATAGGATTGTTGTTGGGACACTACTAGAAGCTGAGAATGATAGAAGCATCTAGCCCCTATTCACTTCTAATAGGTTTTAAAAAAATCCATTTTCCCTCCTATATCCACTCCAGCCTTAATCCCTCCCCACAAAACCAAATGGAATATTTTAGCCTGCCTTCCATTGATGTACCACTTCAGTGGATTGCCTTTTGGATAGTTCATTGGCATTTAATTGTGTCTGTGTACTAATGTACTCTTGCAATTCCTGTTTTTATTTTGTTTTAGGCCTGATGGACATCAGAACAACTTAAGGAGTGCTGCATATGAAGCTCTGATGGAAATTGTGAAAAATAGCGCCAAAGACTGTTATCCTGCTGTTCAGAAGACAACTTTAGTTATCATGGAACGGCTGCAACAAGTGCTCCAAATGGAGGTTAGCTTGGATGTCTGAAAAATGTGATAGTATCCTCCCAAATGGGTGATCTCTAGAACAGGAAAGCTTAACTTGAGGAGTTGTATATTTTATGTTTTGTTTCATGGATGTTTGGCATGCTTTCTATGATTCGTGTAAAAATAATTGACTGAGTCAAGATTGAAATAATAATATTGATTGTCGAAGAGATTTGTGGGTTAAGGATTGGATGAGGGACAATATTACCTGTACTAGGATTTTCCATTGCATGCACATGCCTATGATGTGGTGATCACTTAGATTCTAATTAAACATAACACAAGTTTTTAAATCTCTTAGCTTGAAAGCTGGCCAATGAATATCCTCATTCAAATGCACACTTAAGATCAGAATTTGTTCTGGCTGTAGGTCTTATTATTTCCAATCAACTTAATTTTAAATATATGTCAGATCTTCATAGAGATAAAAGTTTTAAAGAACATTTCAAATGCTAAACTTTATTTTCTCTCCAGTCTCATATCCAGAGCACAAGTGACAGAATCCAGTTTAATGATCTTCAGTCTTTACTTTGTGCTACATTGCAGGTAAAACTTAACATTTATTACCTGATTGTAAAGGTATTTACAGCTCTATACTCTAAAGCATTCAGTATAAGAACTATAAGTAATATTTAGGAGAAAACAAATCTGTATTGAACTTTTTACACATTAAATGCCCTCTTGGTTCAAATTTGATTTTTTTCTTTGAAAGTTGTAAAAATCAATGGTATATAGAAAAAGAAAGTAATACATTGGTGCATAGTTTAAGACAAGAATTATCTTGGATATATACCTCCCACCAACTGGTCCTAGAACTAGTATGTCAAAGAAAGAGGTGGAACCTCTCACTACTTTACCAAGAAAAGTTATGAGCTATTGAGCAGATAAATTCAGCCTTTAGCAGATGCTCACCTGAAATTAACTATCATAGTTCCGTTGTATTTTGCTAGATACTAAAGTACCTATATCTAGCCTAAATTAGCACCTATAGGAGAATATCTATCCAGGTAAGAGATAGTTATTACCAAGTACTTGCTTATAGATTTTTCCAGTTGCACAATTTAAACCAATTCACAAAATAAGACGAAAACGTAATTAAAAGTGAAGTGGGGGGAATAGAAGAAAACTTCCAGATAAATTTTCCTCTTTCATCAAACAGAATGTCCTTCGCAAAGTCCAGCACCAGGATGCTTTGCAGATTTCAGATGTGGTGATGGCATCTCTTCTGAGAATGTTCCAAAGTACAGCAGGATCAGGAGGTGTCCAAGAGGATGCCCTCATGGCTGTTAGTACTCTGGTAGAAGGTAAATGCTTTGCTCTGCTAGTCAAAAGGATTTTTTTAAACATTGAAGGCTCTCTGAATACATAAGTGTTTGGGTTGTCCACATTCTAGTTTTATGTTACAATTGGGATTATTTTATACATTTAGGACTTATGTATTGGTCCTGACATAACAAATGTCAAAGAGATTTGTGGGCTAAGGATTGGATGAGGGCCATCAGATGATATCACAAAATTATAACAATGTTTTAATGATTAGATTCCAATACAGGTAGTGAAAAATATACTGAGGTAGCATTATAGAACAGACTTAAAGTTTTATTTTGATTATGAACAGATAATACCATGTTTCCCCAAAAATACGATCTACCCCAAAAGTAAAGACTAGCCTGGTTTTTTTGGGGGGTGGGCCTACCCCAAAAATAAGCCCTAATGAAGGGGGTGGGCATGGCAGCACAGGAGGCAGTCCCTCCCTTCCCTGGTCACCTCTTGGCTGCTTGGCCCCTTAATCGGGGCCCATGGATCAGCTGAGCCAGCGAGGGCCAGGAGCTGCCTCTCGTTCTGCCTCTCAGGACGCCTGGAGATGTTTCTGGCGCATTCTTTCCAGCCCCAGCCCTGCCCTGTGCAAGCTCTGTGGTAGCCCTGCAGCAGCACGGAAGAGGGAGGCGGAGATTGCCCCTTCATCGTTTGCACCTCAGAACCCCATCTTCCTTGGCCTGCCCCCAGTCTGCTGGAGCAAGAGACATAAACTCAGTGTTACCCGTGGAGGCCTCCCAGTGCAAGCGCTTTTGCAGTCGCAAAAGCAGCAAGCCAAGTGATGCGCCCCACGCACCTCGCATCCTCCTTACCCAACAATGACAGTTGCAGCAGGCAATTCCACCCATAGAAAAGCTATCTCGTGGGTGCTGCTCCAGCCACCACCTCCAGCAAGTGCAGCCTGTTTTGCCACCGATTGCGGCAAAAGCAGCAGGAGGCCAAGTAAGCAAGCCAAGTGATGCGCCTCACGCCTTCCTTGCCTAATGTTTACGGTTGCAGCAGGCAATTCCGTCCACAGAACAGCTGCCTTGCAGGTGCCACTCCAGCCACCGCCTCCAGTAAATGAAATGTTACCGTAGCTATAGAGGTCTCCTTGTGCAATGCTCTGCCACAGTTTTGGAGCAAACCTCTGCTTTCCCTGCACAGGACTGCAAGACTGGAGGCTCCGAAGCCATGGAAGGAGGGTTTTTGAATGTGCATTTGTGCAGGTCTCCTCTTTGAAAGGACGATGTGCAGGAAATCTCCCCCCTCTGCAGATCGTCCTTTCAAAGAGGAGTTTCACCACGACGAAGAGGTAGCTGGAGCCGGCGTTTGCATCGGATTGGGCTTTCTTCATGAGGGGAACAATCTAGGAAGTGAGAGATTTAGGAAGCCTGGGCTGGCATGGGGTGGTTTCTCCAGCGAAGCGTCTGATTGGTGAGTGTCTTGTGGACCAACCGTAGAGGGACCGTCTTCAATTAACTTCCCTCTGTCTGTCTCAGGGCGACTGCGGCATCTCACTGGGCTTCTCCTAATGTCCCAGGTGCAAAGCGATCTCCCATAAAGGAAGGCATGGAAATCCGTACCCCTTCTCTCTGGTTGGATTCTCAAAGATTTTCAAGCAAAACACTGCCGAGAGAGGGGAATATCTCTTCCCCCTTTCCCCAAACTTTGTAGGCATGAAGTTTCACAAAGCTCCTTAATCTGCACCTGATGGCTTCCTTGCTTTGTGCTTATTATACATGTACTGCCAAAAGCGCTTCTTGGGTGGGCCACTTCTGCAACAGGAAACACACCCCTCATGCTGGCCTTCTGAATGGTACTGTAGCAGCTATCCACAATATTTTTACCGTTATTTCATCACTTGGCCCAGGACGATGTTAAAAGTTAACATTTCAGAAATGTTACTGTAGCTGGGAAGGAAAGGACGTTGTGCAGGAAAATCTCCCCACACACACACCTGCAGATCACTTTTTCAAACAGCAGCCCTGTACAGATGCACATTGAAAAAGGCTCCTTCTATGATTTCGGAGCCTCCAGTCTTGCAATCCTGTGCAGGAAATGCAGAGGTTTGCTCTGAAGCTACAACAGAGCGTTGCACAAGGAGACGTCCGCAGCTACGGTAACATTTCTGAAATGTTAACTTTTCCGGGCCATGTGAGTCAGGACATAATAACGGTTAAAAAATTGTGGATAGCTGCTGCTACAGTACCCTTCAGAAGGCTGGTGTGTGGGGCACATAGCTTGGCCTCCTGCTTTTGTGGCTGCAATCGCTGGCAAAAGCGGCTGCGCCTACTGGAGGCACAGCAGCACCTGCGAGGCAGCAGTTTTGTGGATGGAATTGCCTGCTGTGACAGTCACCATTAGGTAAGGAGGGTGCATGGGGCGTGTCACTTGGCCTCCTGTTTTTGTGGCCGCAATCGCTGGCAAAATGGGCCGCGCTTGCTGGAGACGGCGATCTGAGTGGCACCTGCGAATCAACTGTTTTGTGGATGGTGGGATGGCCTCCCGACCCTTTGGGAAGCTGGCACAAGGGCCGCTTGCCCTGCCCCCCTGCCTCATACCAGTACATGGAGGGGAAATAAAACCTCCCTGAAAATAAGACCTAGCTCTTATTTCGGAGGTCAAAAGAAAATAAGACCCGGTCTTATTTTCAGGGAAACACAATACTTACAAATGTTCATAATGTTATGTACAGTGTTTTAAGCATAATAGTAGTCAGAAGGCTTTACCAAACAATTGTTTTGCTGTGATTAGATTATTATGTGAAGTAAACGATAGAAAATGATTTATGTATCTTATTTTATTACCCTAACAGTACAGTATAGTAATAGAAGACATAAAACACACATTTTATTTTTGAATTTTATTTCTTAGAATAGTTAACAGAGAGATAGGAAGTGATAAGATTTGAAGTAGAGCTTTACTGTGAAAGAGTGTAAAATTTCTGACTGAGCATTCAGGTGCATCTTTATTTATGATTTATTTTCCTCCAAGATGGTACTTAGTTACAGCAGTTTTTGTTTTCTTGCAAAAGATACTACTAAACACAACTACAGTTACAAGAAAAAGTATGTGAACCCCTTGGGATTACGTGGAGTTTTGCATGAATTGGTCATAAAATGTGCTCTGAACTTCATCTAAGTCACAACAATAGAAAAACACAGACTGCTTAAAATAATACTACACAAACATTAGATGTTGTCATGGTTTAATTGAACATAACATGTAAACATTCACAGTGCAGGGAGGAAAAAGTATGTGAGCCCCTAACCTAATGACTTCTCCAAGAGCTAATTGGAGCCAGGAGTGAGCCAACCTTGACTCCAATCAGTGTGATGATATTGTATGTTACTGACAGCTGTCCTGCCCTTTAGAAACACACACCTGTTTTGGGTTTACTGGTTCCAAAAAGCACTGTCTGATGTGAACCATGCCTCGCAGAAAAGAGCTCTCAGAAGACCTACGATCAAGAATTGTTGACTTGCATGAAGCTGGAAAGGGTTACAAAAGTATCTCCAAAAGCCTTGATGTTCATGTGTCCACTATCCAGACTGTCTACAAATGGAGAAAGTTTAGCACTGTTGCTACTCTCCCTAGGCGTGGTTGTCCTGTAAAAATGACTGCAACAGCACAGTGCAGAATGCTTCATGTGGTAAAGAAGAATCCTAGAGTGTCAGCTAAAGACCTACAGAAATCTCTGGCACATGCTAACATTTTTGTTGACACATCTACAATAAGGAAAACATTAAACAAGAATGGAGTACATGGGAGGATACCACAGAGGAAGCCATTGCTGTCCAAAAAAAATATTGCAGCACGTTTGAAGTTTGCAAAAGAGCACCTGGATGTTCCACAGCACTACTGGCAAAATAAACTGTGGACAGATGAAACCAAAATTGAGTTGTTTGGGAAGAACACACAACACTATGTGTGGAGAAAAAAAGGCACAGCACACCAACATCAAAACCTCATCCCCACTGTAAAACATGGCGGAGGGAGCATCATAGTTTGGGGCTGCTTTGCTGCCTCAGGGCCTGGATGGATTGTTGTCATTGATGGGAAAATGAATTCCAGAGTTTATCAAGACATTTTGCAGGAAAACGTACGACCATCTGTCCGGCAACTGAAGCTCCGCAGAGGATGGGTGATGCAACAGGACAATGACCCAAAGCATACAAGTAATTCAACAAAAAAAATGGCTTCAACAGCATAGAATACGCCTTCTGGAGTGGCCCAGTCAGAGTCCTGACCTCAACCCGATTGAAATGCTGTGGCATGACCTTAAGAGAGCGATTCACACCAGACATCCCAAGAATATTGCTACACTGAAACAGTTTTGTGAAGAGGAGTGGTCCAAAATTACTCCAGATCGTTGTGCAGGTCTGATCTGCAACTACAGGAAACTTTTGGTTGAGGTTATTGCTGCCAAAGGAGGGTCAACCAGTTATTAAGTCCAAAGGTTCACATACTTTTTCCTCCCTGCACTGTGAATGTTTACATGTAATGTTCAATTAAACCATGGCAACATCTAATGTTTGTGTAGTATTATTTTAAGCAGACTGTGTTTTTCTATTGTTGTGACGTAGATGAAGTTCAGAGCACATTTTATGACCAATTCATGCAAAACTCCACGTAATCCCAAGGGGTTCACATACTTTTTCTTGCAACTGTAAACTTCTTTTCATAAATGGATGGAGCTGAAACTGTGAAAATGCCTTTTGGATCTAAACTTTCTCTTGTTCTTTTCATCTGATCAAATCTCATTGACTGGGAATAGACTGGTTGAATATGGGAAGGAAGAATTGTTGACGTACTATGCCATGCTGGCTGCCAAGTGGCTGCCAATGCTGCTGCTGGTCTCATGGGTGTTCTTTGCCCTCCTGGCAGGGCAGGTGGAGGGGAGGGCATGCTGAGAGACATAGGCAAGCAGACAGTGGGATGGAGAGGGTGGCACTAGAGATAGCTGCCCAAATACTTTTCGCCCAGAGGGAGATAAAGCTTTGTGTGCTTGCAAAGGGGAAACAGAGCGATTAGCTCTGGGTGAAAAGTGCACAGCAATGCCAGGTGGAGGCATCACCCACTCCATCCCACCATCTCTCAGCTTGCCTGTAGCCATGCTGAAGAGGCACCCATGTGGGGCATCGGGAGCACCTGCCTCCTCCATCTCTTATTCTGCTGCCGGAGTCGACGCAAAAGCCTCCCATGAGTCAGGGAGCCATGGAGCATGTCCAAATGGCCTGATTTCTCCATGCTCAGACTTTTTGGTCTTTGCACTGCGCCAAGGGACCGGCGGACTGTGGCTCCTGCAGGACACCATTGCCCCGCATGCTAGCTGCCTCTCGTGCTGGCCATGCTCATCCCCCCTTGGCTTATTTTCGGGGTAGGGTTTATATAAGGTCCACTACAGAAAATCAGGTTAGGGCTTGTTTTTGGGGTGGGTTTTATTTTCAGGGAAACATATGGTTAAATTAACATCCCTAGAGTTTTGAGAGCTACAAATTCATCTAGGCTATGGATATTAACTTCTTAATTTTAGATATCTCATATTTTTTAATCTTTCATTTTGCTCAGTGTTAGGAGGGGAGTTTCTCAAGTACATGGAGGCCTTCAAACCTTTCCTGAATATTGGTTTAAAAAATTATGCTGAATATCAGGTAATGCCCTTTTCCCTGTCTTAAAAAGCAATTGGTTGGGATTAAGTGGTATATTTTTTTTTATACTGCTGGATTTGGAGAGAATTGTGATATCATTCTTTTTATTCTTGTAGTGTTTTCAATACCTAGCAGTAATTTTATTTCAGGATCTGTGTAAATAGATAGCTGTCAATATAACTTCACAACTGAATCTTGAGGCTGTTAGCAGCTGAAACATTTTTTCTTTTTCACTCCCCTCCCTCCCTCCTCCCCTCTGTCTCCCCTCTTTTTTTGCATTCTCTAATTAGATATTCTCATTTATTGTAATTGCTTTAAAATTATCCTGTCCATGATATGCTGTTTGGCAACTTTCTGGAGGTTTAGATTATGATAACAATTCATTAGTATATCACTTTTTAAAAAATAATCCTGGTTTGAAAGCTCAGTCTATTTGGTGGTGGGATAAGGAAGACAAAAGTTAATTATGGTTCTGATATCAGTAAAAGCTAAAAAGCTTTCATGTAATAGAAGATTGCAGTATAAATCATCCATGTTTTTCCATTTTTAAAGTATATTTAAGTATATCTATTTAAGTAGAATAAAAGAAACATTTTAATAAAAATATTTTAGAACAATTCTTCATATCCAGCAGATAAGAAATGTGTAAAAATAATTTACACATAAGCATTAAAGTTGCTTACAGTTTCCGCAGCAACAGCAAGCAAAAAATTTCCCACCATACAGAGCCTAATATCTGCTCAGGTTAACTGGCAAACATTCCCTACAATCACTTGTTATCCCAAAACATCCTATTTGGTGTAGAATATCAGGCATGAAAGATCAGTTCCACATCTAAAGAGCTAATGCTTATGTTCAGGACTCTTCTCAGTTAATGGTGAGCATCTGCTTGGAATTCAATAAGGGTCAAGGCAATCCAAGAGGGATTAGATTTACAGTAGTTCACTTGTGGCTACATAGAGATTCTAGGCTGATCCCTCCAACCCCATGTGCTACCACTCCCTCCCCTACTTCAAAGAAGGTAATGTCTAGGCCTGAATTACAAATTAAAATGACAAATTCTTTTCCAATTAAAGGGCTTTTATTTTTGGGCCCCATGATCCCAGTTAAGATCAGGTCTTTTACATTAGCCATGGAATTTTGTTTTATTTTGTTGGAGAACAAATCAAAGAATAAGAGAACCAGTTTGCTCTAGTGACTTCTAGTCCAACTTTAGGCATAATTTAGGGCCAGTCATTTTTTCTCAGAAAGAGTCAATGGCAAACCACTTCTGAAATTTTGCCAAAAAAATTGTAAGTACTTGTCTCGGCCAGGAGTCAACACTGATTCAAAGGCACAAATAAACATAGTATTCTCCCCCAACACACACACACCCCTAACAGGTCTGCAATTAATAGTTAACAAAAACTGTGAGTCAAATAACATACAGACTGTTAAATGGCACTAAAGGACATAATTTAACAATGGAGTTAGTTTATGTAATTTTATAAAATTTATGGGGTGGCTAAAGGGGACAGAGGAAACAGGTCTTGAATAGTTTCTTTGTAGATTTTAAGGCGGCTAAAGAAAAGGGAATTTAATAGGGTTAAGCAAGTGAAAAAATATTGGTATGGAAAAAATTGCTAGAAATAATGGTCATCCCATTAAGAATAATTGAATACAATAAATTGTTCGATTACAGCAAAGCAATAATAGGAGATTGTGTTTGGAAAAGATTTTCATAACATATTGAAAAAGTGGGAAAACCTTGATGTCAAGAGAGAAAAAAGGGAGGGGAGAAGAGAAAGAAAAATCAGGAGTCAGACATCCTTAACCAAATGTTGAAAAAGTTTTTATCACAAATAAAGTGTTAAATAAAAATTCCCAACAACCACAAGAGAAAACACTAAATAAAATGAAGTATAAACAGAATTTAAAATATTAAAAATTTAAAAATGCAATTATGAATATGGCAAAGAGTGCAAGCCAAGCCAATACAATATATATATATATATATATATCAGTTAAAAACAGATTAGATACAAAGCAGATGAACTACAAAATCAAAAAGCAAGAGACTACGTTATTTTCAGCAAGCCACCAAACATTTCCAAGAATTGACTTGGATCTCCAAAGTTCTTACACCATCTCTCAAGGAAGTAGAGATTCTCATACATGTACCATGATCCTTTTAAATGGAGGATGAATGACAGGCTGTTACGCCTAGAAACATATTACTAATATGCCAAAAATAATTACTTTTTGAAAAATAAATACTCTGTGGCTATCAAAGATAACAACATCAGAGCCAGAGTAGCTTACATGAAGGAACTTCTTATGAGGTTTGCAATAAATCAGAAAATAAGGGAAGCAATATAAGAGATCAGAAATTACAAAACTTGCAGAATTTTTATTACAAAACTTGCAGAATTTTTATAAGAATTTATAATTTATATTTTAAATATAGTATTACAAAGAAGGCTTGAACATATATTAGAGAGTCAGATTTAAAGAATTTACTGAATTACATGGATTGATATTAAGGAAACCCATAACAGTTTAAGAGCTTAAAGAATCAATTTCAACAACTAAAAATGGGAAGGCAGCAGTAACATTCCTAGATACAGAAGAAGCTTTTGATAAATTTGGAGTGTGCTTACAACGATTTTCAAACAAAATAAATATATTAGAATTTAAAATTTGGGTGGAGAGTATTATTGATAACAGTTTACAGCAGATGGAACACTCCGCAAGTTTTCCAATAAATAAAATATAAGACAGAGATTCCTACTTTCTCCATTATTATTTGTTTTGCAGATAAAATCTGGAAAGACAAGGAAATATTTGGGATCAAAATTCAGGTGGAGGAATACAATGAAATGTTATGCAGACAATGTAGTATTAACTAGTCAATCATAGATGTCTTTAACTCCAAAGACCTTTAAATACTTCAGTAATTCTCTGGATAGGAAATTAGTGAGAAAAAGAAAGAAAGATAATAACAAGATATATAATCCAAGAGGGAAGATGATCACATGATATAGTATCTGACCATGAAATAACAAAAAAATCCAGTGAAATATTTGGGGCTCTATTTGACAGGGTGCAATATATCAGAACAGTTATAATAAATCATGGAAATAAATAAAACAATAGCTTGATAGCTAGAGAAACCTAAAACTTTCTAGGCTAGGGCTTATCAGGATTGTAAAAACAAATATTCTACTCAAGATGAACTTCTATTCTAAATAGTGTTAATTGTACTCTTAAAATAAAAGCTTTTAGAGTTGGCAACAAGTACCGTATTTTTTGGAGTATAAGACGCTCTGGAGTATAAGACGCACATTAGTTTTTGGAGAGGAAAAAAAAAATCTGCCTCTGCCTACCAGCATCCATCGGTATTCATCTGGCTAACATCCTTGCAGCAAACAGCTTCAACATGTTATTGCAGCCTTTTTCAGCACAAGCAGCTGATTGGCAGTTGGATCGGCCTCCCAGAATACCGCCAACTAGCTGTTCCAGGCTGCAGGGATCCCCACAGCCCATTGCCCCCTCCATGCATCGCGTTTTTGGCCTCTGTGCATCGCGTTTTCAGCCTCTGCATGCTCCGTTTTAGACCCGTTCCAGGTTGCCAAGATTGCCACAGCACATCACCACCTCCATGCATCACGTTTTTGGCCGATTCCAGGCGGCGGAGAGTGGCAGCAGTGGGGAACCAGCCAAAAACAAGATGTGCGGAGGCCAAAAATGGGGCATGCGGAGGCCAAAAACGCTACGCACGGAGGCTGAAAATAGTTGAAGAGTGCGGGCCGGTGGGTGGGTGGGGCTTCAGTAACATTTGCTGTATAAGATGCACAGACATTTCCACCCACTTTTGGGGGGGGGTGCATTTTATACTCCGAAAAATATGGGTAATTAAAAGAGATTCATGGAATGGAAGAAAACAAAAATATTCAACTTTTGCAAGATTCAAAAAGAAGAAGCAGGCTTACATTTTATCATTTTAAATTACATTATTCTGTATGCTGTCTCATGGATAACAAAATGTGTAAAATCTCAGAATAGGAAAATATTACCATAGAAGGAGCCAAATTAGCAAGTAGATTATGGTATAAAGAAACAAGAGAAGAATTTGAAATAACATTATAAGACAACATTAGTTAAAAATATTGAAACTTCTAAAATAAAGATTGTGACTTCACTACTCACCTCAGTCAAACACCTTTTATTTCAGGGACAACCACAGCAAGTAGCTTTTCAAGATAGTAATTACAATACAAAAATAGGAAAAGATATGGGAAAAACCAATAAAATTTACTGCAACTTAAGGGGAAATTGGTATAAAATTTGCACACAATATTGGAGAAGAAAAACTTTGCTAATCATACAAAATTAAAAAACCAAACTTGGAGAATATAGTCAGCAAAGGCAAGCTGACTATATATCTGTAATAGATATATTGAAGCATCTTTGAAACATACTGCCACAATTGAGGAATTGCCTTGCAGGCTCTGTTTAATATTGTAATGGGGAAATAATGATTGGTGCCTGAGGTGAGGTGAAAAGTGACTCATAAAAGTGTTGGCTATATTTGTTTTTGCAGGTCTGTTTAGCTGCAGTGGGCCTAGTAGGTGACCTATGCCGGGCTTTGCAATCCAACATTCTGCCCTTTTGTGATGAGGTTATGCAGCTTCTTTTAGAAAATTTGGGGGTGAGTAAATTGATGATCTAAAAACAAAAGAAAAATAAAATTTCACATCTATTAGTGAAAGAAATGTTTAAAAAATTCCTAACAATGTAAACATTGATTTGATCTTATGGCTTGTTTCTAACAAAGGAAGAAGAAAGCAAGCAATATAAATAAAACTGAAATAGTTTTATGAAATAAATTATGAAATATGAAATGAAAATTATTAAATTATTAAAATGTCATAATTTCTATTAAGATCTTTCAATATTATTTCCTCACTTAAATTATAAATATGGAAATCTGCAATGCCATTTAATACCTATATGTGACACCTATTTTTTAAAAATGTATTTTCATCTCTACATAATGTACATATCTGAACATCTGTACATACATTTCATCAAATGGATTATGTTGGCTAATCTTTAATGAGCAGCAAATCTGGTGATAGGTTAATACTTGGTTGCTAAAACTTGGGTGTACAGTCCTATCTGCAGGTGACGATTGAGGCCCATTGAATTAGTAAGAAATGTGCTGAGAACTGAAATACTTTTCAATTTTATTAATACAAAATGGGAAAAGCCCTTTGCACCTTGGGGGCAATATCTGATAGAATATAAGTATCAAATGTAATGTGATTTCTAAAAGCTAAACTTTTGGCTGTGAATTGTCTTTACAGAATGAAAATGTACATCGGTCTGTTAAGCCCCAAATTCTCTCAGTGTTTGGAGATATTGCTCTTGCAATTGGAGGAGAATTTAAAAAATACTTAGATGTTGTACTGAATACTCTACAGCAAGCTTCTCAAGCCCATGTTGATAAGGTAAACAATCTTTTGGATCAAATGTCTATGGAAATTCTCAATCATCCAGGTCATGGTTCTCCCAAAAGTGCTTCCCCCCCCCCTTCTTTTTATTCAAAAGGCAACTGGACTTTCACTTCTCATGCAAGAAGCTTATTCAGTTCTACCTAACTGAATGGGACTGGAAGGATTTATATTCTTTGCAGTTGTCCGGTTATACACCCAGAGAGTTGTTGAGGCCACTTGGGAGTTTATCTATATCCAGATTCATCTAAATCAGAGTATAAATGGGTATAAAACCTTCTTGGTGCTACTGAAAGGACTGTTGTAAGCAGGAGATAGATTTCCCTCCCTTTGTTCTGAGGGAAAGGGGAAAAAAGCACCTTTGGGATAATATTTGGGTCCTATATGTGTGAGATAGATGATGGACAGGCAGTGGTAGGACAGTAATCCCAAGAGAACTCTATTTTATGTTTGTTCTTAGTCTGATTATGACATGGTAGACTACCTGAATGAATTGCGAGAAACCTGTCTGGAAGCATACACAGGCATTGTTCAAGGTCTGAAAGGAGATCAAGAGAATGTACATCGTAAGTCCTTTTCTTTTTAATTTCCTTGCTTACCACAGATATGAACCTCTGTGCGTGAGATTCAATTTCTGCCAATGTTTACTCCTCTTAGTAATAATAGGAAATTGTCAGTGCAAAGCTTCTTATTTTGTCTTGTTTTAAGATACGGGCTATTAGCTTAGAAAACATGGTTGCATTTTTCATTGCTTCTTGTTTGAGGTTTCAGGGTATATTGGTGATGTTAAATGGCATATTTTTACAGCCCTGGTCAAGTTACCAGATGGCCTTTGTTTGCATCTGTATTTTTATTTTTTTAAAAAAACCTCTTTTCCAAAATGAAACAGGTACATACACAGATACTACTTTTAGTTTAGGTTTCATTTAGAACCTCTGCCGAGTTCATCCTGTAATGTTTCCTGTTTAAGAATACATTATAGGAATAATTTGATGTGTACCCAGTCCATTCTAAGAAAACAAGTTTTCAGAATAATAAATGAGATATTATGGGATGAACAAGAGTTAGCAGGTAGAAAGAGGGTATAAAAGCAATGTCATAGAAAAGAATATAATCTTTGTAGGATGCCTCTAATACAAATTAGGTCTATAGTTGAACAGTTTTAAGGTAAACCTTCCAGAATTATTGATATTGATAGGAAGAAATAAAGAAATAAGCCCATAATGTAAGCCTATAAAACTAAATTATGCTTCCTTTTCAGCGGATGTGATGCTGGTGCAGCCTAGAGTAGAATTCATCTTGTCTTTCATTGACCACATTGCTACAGATGAAGATCATAGTGATGGAGTTGTAGCCTGTGCAGCAGGACTGATAGGGTAAATGCTGAAGATTTATGATCTACTGTCTCAGTGAATCTGTCTTACCTCTTAGGAAGACAAGATGATATACTTTACTAAGAACTTTTTTTTAACCTTATAAAACTTCTAAAACTGTTTAATCTTAGCCCACTATTAAATATTTAAACTTGTTAAATAGCCACGACGATGCTATTCTGTTAAGTTCTTTTTGTCCTTGCTTAATAAAGGGGACTGAAATTTTTAACTAAGTGATGTAAAGTGAAATGTGACTGCTGCTTAGCATCATTCTAGCATTCCCTTATAGTTAAACAAATCACTAGTCATTAAGTGAATCACCATGGGTTATTAAGAATCATGACTTCAACTTCCTGCCAGCTTCCCTATTGACTTTGCTTCTGGGAAACCAGAAGGGAAGGTAGTAAATCATATTGACATTACTGCAGGATGCTGTGATGTTTGGAAATCCAAGTCATTGTTGAGCAATCAGGTCATGATCACAGTATCATGGGGCACTGTGACAGCCAGCATTTTGAGAACTGGTAATACTTATCACTTGTTCAGCGCTATTGTAAGTTTGAATGGTAGCTGAACAAGTGGTTTTCAATCAAGGCCCACATTTATTTATTTATTCAATTAATTTATATGGCTGTACATATCACAGATATAAAACTCTGGTGGCTCACAATATATGAAACCAATAAAAACAATATCATTGTTATGAGATTCATAGACTATAGATTCTACAGTGGATGGTCAGAATAAATGCAAAAGAGTGGCAGTGCCCCAGTCACTCTGGCTTCCCAGGAACACATCCAGCTTTTCAGAGCTTTGCAAAAGGCTGGCAAGGATACAGCCAATCTAATCTTGGGGGAGCAGTGTTATTCAGAGTTCATGGGCTACAACAGAAAAAAAAACTTGAATCCTAGGTCCCATTAGATTGCATTATATAATTGAGGGGACTCTGAGTGAGTTCTTCCTATCAGGTCTACTGGGATGAGCAGTCCCTCAAATAACCCAGTCCCATGCCATGAGGTGATAATCAGCACCTTGGATTCCACCCAGAAGCCAATGTGGCTGGCTAGTGGCCTTGCAGAAGCCCTACCCCTCAGCCTCTTGCCCTACCTACTATCTGGACATACATTCTGGACCAGTTGCAACTTCCAGAAGGTCTTCAAGGGTAGCCCCAAATAAACTACATTGCAGTAATTCACTTTGTGGATGGAAATAATCTTTGATTTCTGATCACAATTTCTGATCACAATGAATCCAGAATTTTGGTCATAGATTGAGGCACCATTGACCAGATATGGTCATAAAGCAAGTCTCTGCAGTTTTTAAGAAAACCGTATGGCCATTAAGCAAATCCAGCATACTCAATAGGCACTTTCTGCTAGGAAATGGCAAAAAAAATGCAAATTGTGATCCACAGGTTGTTGCAACTACTTGTAAATGTGAGCTGGTTGCCAAGCATCTGAAATGTGATTGTGTGACTGCAGGGTGGATGGAATGTGCAGCATTCATAATTCAAAAGAGCCAAGAAACTTTGAACAACCCACAGCACATACTGGGAGTTTCTCTATATTTGGTTTCCACAGGGATTTGTGCACAGCGTTTGGGAAAGATGTCCTCAAGATGGTAGAAGCTAGGCCCATGATACATGAACTACTAACTGAGGGAAGGAGATCAAAGACGAACAAAACAAAAACCCTTTCTACCTGGGCCACTAAAGAGTTGAGAAAACTGAAGAATCAAGCTTGGTGAGAAGGCACCAACTTTCTTGTTCTTTAAAACAAACTGAGCTATTCCTATAGAGCTTGTATTAGACGTTCAGATAACTAATGTAATTCCCACTGAGTAAGCTTCTGAATGGTGCAGAATGAAGCGTTTGGACTCTCATCTCCATGGTCTTTTTCTTCAATGTCTTCCAGCTCAAAAATTATTTTCTTATTTTTAAAGACCTTTAAAAATTGAAAGAAATATTATGCAGTATAATATGATAAATTGAAGTGGAAGTTTTCTAATAGGGACAAAAAAAAACCTGTAGTAATGAAGCAATCTTATTGCTACTGAAGAAAATGCAAGTGTCTTTTTATATTACATTACATTGTCTCCTTATTTTTCTTCACTTACAGATCTGTTACCATTGGGATGACATCTGAGACCCCCACTGGAATTCTCCAATCTATTGAGGAAAAAAACCCAACCCGAAGTGAGGAGTGTGCACGGATGCTGAGTGTTTGGGAATGAGAGGATGAGTGAGTGAGAGGCTTAAACACACCACGGTGAAAATCCAGCCACGGCAAATGGCAGAACCGCTGTTAATGGAGCTAATCACTGACTTGCGTAGCAACAAAACCTTGTCATCGCTTGCCTCCAGGAAGTAGAAAATGATTGAGTTCTATACTTCAGTGCAGTCTCTTCTGACAAGAGACAAGGACTAATTCTGTGTCTTGGCCAGTGAAGAGGAAGATTACTTAGTCTGGGAGAGAGAAAAGCTAGCTTCAGGTTCAATTTGAGTACTCATATAATAAGGTCTGGCTTTCGTTGCTAGAGAGGAGAAGGTGGGGTCCCCAGCCCATGACCTTTTAACCTTTTTTGGGAGGGAGGAGAGTTTATAGCCTCACAACGCTGTCAGTGCACGAGAAAAATAGGAAGGGTGAAGGATTTTCTTTCAAGAGTGAGTGTGTGTGAATGAGGCAGTATCTACATTCTCAATTGCAGTTAATCTTTCCCAAAAGAAACACTGAAGAGATTAGCAGTTGCATTTCATAAACTAACAAGTTCAGTCTACTTGAAGTGGCAGAAAAGTAAGAGATTTGAAGGGGGGAGGGGGGAAGAGAAGTTGCCCCGTGTAGGGCTTCTTTGGGGAATTTTAGCTGGGATGTTCAAAGCTCCCATCGTGACACTTTTTTCACAATATTGTTCATTAAAAAGCGCCTTTCCTTCCTGAATTTTGTTCAACTGTGAATGTAGAAACCCGGGGCTGGGTGGGGTGGGAGGTGGGTAGAGTATCCAGAGGACTCTCAAATGTTAGTGGAGAGATTAGGATCAGTTTTTCCAAATGGGATATGAAGCTTATGAAAACATAACTTTGCTTTCAATTGGTAATAATAAAAAAACCCAAAAGGAACAAAACCCCTTTCGGTATGAACAAAATAGCCCGAACCACACATAATTGTGCCAAAGAATTTTTGAAAAGCCTAAACAAACAAGAAACTTTTCAGGAAATATTTTGGATTGCAAAAATGAGATTGACATTCAATGTTCAAACAAAGCAAAAAAAAAAAAAAAAAAAAAGATAAAAGTACAATTTGGAAACCGCTTGGCCTATTTGTTCTCTTTATTTGGTTCTGATATGGGGTTAGTCTTGCTGCACTTCAAAAAAGGAAAAATTTATATATATATATATAAATATATATATATATATATACTGACTTGAGCTTACACAGGATGGCACTTGTAAAAGGTTATATTTTTCCACTGCAGTGAAGATTAATAAAATGGTGTCAAACATTTCCCCAGTACTATTTTTTTCTATTGCTCTTTCCAGTAGCAGGAAATCCTCTTTTCCCCCCAAAAAAGCAATTGGGCAGCTGTATGCTATTATCTATACTATATCTGTTAAAAACCTATAGTTTCAAATATTTTAAAAAAATATTCTGTTGCTTTATAACAAATGGACAGAGACAGCTGTTCTAGATATTAAGAATTCCTAAAAGCAGAGGGAATGAGACACACCAGCTTCTAACTATGCAGCTATTGATGCTTAGGGGCTTTTAAAAGATGGGTGCTTTTCATGCTTGCCTTGTAAAATAGGGAACCTCATCCTTCCAACAAGCATTAAACTTTTTTTTTTAAAAAAAACAACAACCCTCACTTCCCTTTTCTGTCTCTGTACTTTCTCAGGCTCATCTTGGGATTCTCTTTGGTTGCCCATCCTCATTGGAAAGCAAACAAGCCAGTTTCTTATACAGGGTATCTGATGTTGTGCCTTTCAGTGCCAGGTTCAGAATTGTAGCCCCAAGTGCCGATTTCTTGAACCAGTGTACAAAGCAAAAACAAAATATAAGACCAAGTGGTTCAGCAGGAAGTTCCAGCATGAGTCTGAAAGAGGGGCTTTTATGAACTTGGGTCCACCTTTTTCTTAATGCCTTTTTTTCTTTGAGATAGAGATTTCTTTGAAAGATGCCCACAAAACGAAAGCCATTCCTAAACTGGGGAAGGGGTGCGTGAAGGGAAATTCTCATCATTCCTCAGTGCTACTGAACTCTGTCCAGTGTTGGCTATCTAGCTGTAGGCTGCAGGCAAATAAAGTACACTGAGTTAGTAGTGGAAACCAAAAATGTGTGTCTTACTTTTTTTTTCCTCTTGGCATTCAGTGCTTATTTCCAAAAATGGTGAAAATCTATGCTGAAGCAAACTTCTATTTTTAATTTTTACCTGAACTTATGCATCCTGTGTGTATTCACTGTGTGCTTGGGGAAGAGAGAGAATACCCTGTACCTGTGCTTCAAGGAGGACTCGCATTAATGAGTATTTTATGAATTATGTCTCTTAATTACCACATCAAATTTGTACACCTATACATAAACAAATTGTTCCTACATTTGGAGGAAGGTACATGGCATCTCTGAGAAGCTTTAGAATTAATAGAATGTATTTTGGAGCATACCATTGTGGCCCTTACTGTGTGACCTACTTTAGCTTGGGTAGAAAGTTTGAAGTTCTTGGAATCGGGGAGATACTGCTATAGTCTGTCAACAATTTGCTATCAAATTGAAATTGTTGAGAGAGTGGAAGGAGAAAACTGTAAATATACAGAAAAACAGAGTATCTAATTTCAAATGTTACATGTTTTGCCCTCACTTTCTGAAGTGTGTGGCCTTTAGCCAGAATTTACTTGTTCCTAGTGAAATAGGTATGCATTCCAGGTTCTCTTGGATGGGATTTTGCATGTCCTCTAAAATTCTCCTTATTCTGAAGCCAATTAGCTATGAATTATGGTCTGTCAGATGCTTTGGAATTACATGTTGAGCTCCTTATGAATGCATCTGACTCACAAGTCACATGTTGAATCTGTCTCAACATCTGAGAAGTAGTATAACCATATGCTTACTTTCAAATTCTATATTGTCAGAGACTTTCAAAGATGTGAATTTCCAGATGTGTTGCTATTTAATAAAGAGTGTTAGAAGGAGAAAAGGAAAAACTATACTTGGGAGGTATTTAAATTTAGCTGTTCTTTGTTCTGCGATTTGTGGCCACCTGGAACATAAATTATTTTCTCAGCAAGTTTCCAAAGTGGCATTCAATAAAAAAAAAAATTCAAATTATCACAGATACCAAACTATATATTAAAATCACCTTGTTACAAAACTTCATAACCTGGCAGAGATGATTTGCAAGATAAGACACAAATTAAATGGACTGAAACCTACATCTTGAGGATCTTGACACAAACCACTGTGTCAACACTAGCTCTCAACTGGATCCTCCAGCATGCCTAATTGTAAATTCAACTTTTTTTTTGCAGCTATTCAGATTATAAATAGAATTATTTTATTTAATTAACTATTGTTATTAATTAGTTCCTTATTTATTAAATTTATATGCTGCCCATTTCATTATTCAAAATGGCTCGGCAACTTACAATAAAAGCACAAATACAGTGGTACCTTGGTATTTAACGACTTCAAAATTCATCACATTCAGTACTCGATGCACAAAAATGTCCTGGTACTTGATGCACAAGGCAGAACTTGCTGGCATTGGCTGCCTCATGACTCACTTCTCCTTCCAGATGAAATAAAGGGTCATGTGGTAAGTCATGTGATTTGCTCAATATTCCTTTTTACTAATACCTCCAGGAACTGGACAAATACTGAAGTACTACTGTATAAAAAACATTAACAATAATTAAATTAGGAACCAAGTATAGTTATGTTAAAGTCCTATATACTTTCAAACTAATTTAGGAAAGTTTCCTTGTTCATAATTGTGATACATTCTTGAAATGTAAATTAATCTTAAGGGGGGGAAATCCATTCTGTTTGTCAAATTATAGAATCTGTTGTAACAACCTAGCACTTAATTATATAATATTGCATCAAAATATCTGACATTTGTGTTCAACAATTTGCTTCCAAACTGGTTAAAGCGGTATACTGAACAACCCAAGCATGAGAGCATCATAAAAAATTATGCAATTCAGCTTTATTTTTAAAAAGTAATATTTCACCAGATAATTTATAGTTTATTTTAAAAAATAAATCACTTTGTCATTGGGCCTGTTATCTCTTTTCTGGCAGTCTGCAGTCATTTTGTGATGTTAATGTTTTCAACTTCATGAATTTTTATTTCTATGCATTCTGCTTGTAAAATTTCAAATTTATTCCTCCATTTTCATGGTGCATTTTAAAAATTATATGACTACATAGAAATATGAGATTGCCACAATTTGCTTTGATTACAGGTTATTGGGCACAGGTACCAAAAGTACCAAAAAATGCCATTTGGTTTGCATCACTTTTTCTGGCTTTCAGTACCACTGAAGAAACTTCTTGAAACTGTTGAAGAAGGTCTCAGCAGTGAGCAAATCAAAACGTGAACACTTCTGTTTCAGAAGTAGGAGGGAGGCATCTTTGAAAGTTGTTTCTTTAACTTTTTGTAAAACAAAACCCTTTGGAAATTTGCACAGACCTGGCAGCAATATCACTGCAGGAATTAGTATGAAGCAAGTAGTTGATGTGAGCATTTTAAATATTATATGGACAATATGCATGACCAGACTGGGAAGGTCTGTTTTAGCCTGGCAGAGAGTGAGAAGGCAGTGAGGCAAGATTTACAATACCAGTTTGTTTGAACGGGTACTGACTGAGATTACAAAGAGTTTTTATTTATTGAGGCTTATCCCATGAAAATATATTTTAAAAATGTCCATTGTTCCTTTCAAGTAAAATGACTCATTTGATCACTCATACTTAACATTCCTGTGAATAAACCCACTGAAAGCAATATTTTCAGGAATTGTGTTTGAGTTGTGATTAAATCTGGACCAAGTTTGAAATTTAATACTTGGATCTTGAACTCTAGTGTGAATTATCCATCGTTATTTCAAACTAGAGATATGCCAATTTCCAACCAGAAGTGCAACCTGAATCATCACCATATGGCTGACATCACAGGATGCTAAACCATGATTTGTTTTGAGGTTAGATAAAGGTAAATGGAATTCAAGGGAGGTTAGATTTAATTTGTGGCTATGTAGGGATTCTAGGCTGATCCTTTTTTAACTCCACCCCAGTTCTGCCACTCCTATATGCAGTTTTCTTGAAGTCGTAGGCAGAATAATTTGTGACATTCAACCATAAATTATTACTTACTGTGATGGCTGGCATCACAAACTCAGCCAAAGCAGTTTAGAATGATAACTAAATATTTGTGCATGTTTGGCAGTCCAAACTGCACTGTTAGATGATCCATGTTTACTTTAGTCCACAGGACATCCAAGTAATTATTTTTCGAAAGTCTAAAGTGACTGATAAAGTCAATAAAGTAGTGGTCAATTTCTTAAAAAAGCTTAATGAGTCTGACTTCCATTGCTAATTTGAAACCTGATAAAAATAAAATTGGCTCCCTATGTGTTCATTTTGTGTTAGTATATTTCACTTTTAATTAATAGCAAGACACTCCATAAAAAATGGTCAGGTAACCCATATTTTTTTACAGAGTGAAGGAGTATTGGGTCCAAAGCCAATCAAGTTGAGATTCTACAAACTTCTCTATCAAGTTTCTTAGTACTGTCCACTGATTTCAAGCTCAGCTTTCTCTAACCAGGATCTTCAGATCTGAAACTCAAAATTTCCTCATCAGCATTGGCATTGGTGATAATTCTGATAGTCCACACATCTAGATCATGTCCAGTTAATAGTAATAATATAATTGCATGCAGGATTTTTAAAGGAGCCTACAGAAGAAAAGGGTGGATATGGGTAGCATTTCTCCTACCGCTTTCTTTTGTGGTTGTCAGAAAACCTCCGAATCATAACTAGCAAAATACAGAAGAGAGTGGCCAATTTTAAATGAAGCTTTTTGTAATTTAAAATGAGTTTTGAAAAAGAATTAGAGCTACCATCAACACAAGCTGGGAAACCATTATTGCAAAGCTAGCTTTACCAATAACCCGATTTTGGAGTATTGGGACCTGTTGGTATCCATTCATAGAACAGTAGCTGACAACTGTGACAGAGGAAAACAAGTGGCAGAAAAGGAAAATGGCCAGGGCTTCCGGAGAGGAGAAATAACTAGAATATGCTAAAAGGTATCAGGCTATCCAATATCACGAGGTTATTTGAACTCACATAGGACTGCCCTCCTCCAGGTCCCATCGGCCAGACAGTGTCTGCTGGCAGTCCCCAGGATGAGGGCATTCTCTGTGGTCGCACCGACCTCCTGGAATGGTTTACCCACTGGGCTCCGGACGGCCCCAACCTCTGCACCTTCCGCGCTGACCTAAAGACATGGCTCTTTCAGCAAATTCCCTGATCTGCCATGCATTTTAATTTGGGGTTTATAAATTGGATTTTAACATTTTAATTCTATTTATTCTAGGGTTGTTTTATTTTGTGAGCCGCCCCAAGTCCCTCGGGAGAAGCGCGGCATATAAATATGACAATAAATAAATAAAAATAAATAAAAACAAATCTAAAACAAAATTCTGGCTTTACTCAGCTAAATATACTGATGTGGATTATGCTAGTTTAATCACAAAAACATCAGGCTAAGAACAATCTAGTTTCACTCATGGGCTGAAAACTATGGCAATTGAACATGGGGGCACGTTCCCACTGTGGTTAAATTAACACCCTTATAGTCTACAGTGCAGACACCCATTTCCCTGTTTGAACTTTGAATCTCTATCCTTATAATGTTATCACCATATCAAAAATTGCCTTCAAAATACTAACTAAACATGGGATGGAGACCAAAAAGCAAAGCAAAAAAATCAGGTTCATCCTAGGTCATAGGAACAAGGTATGAGACTGGATCCCTATATTATGTTAAGCATTAACAGGATATGCCTCCCTGCTTAAAGCACTGTATGAACTGATCTCAGATTTGGTTAAGGCACTAGGTTATTTTCTAGTTTAACCTTAATATCCTTAACTGAGTTTTAAAACCCAGGAAAATGGACATGGCCTTAGTGTCTGTCCAAGGTTCTTTTCTTCTGAAGGATAATGAAAACAATGTGCACCTTAAACGTGGTGGTCCAAAGCTTACCTTAGTACTTGAAAAGAAAATTAACAGTAAAATTAACAGCATATATTTATAACAGGTTTAAAACTAGAATGGCATCCACATATATTAAATATTACATAGCAAGGTAAATAAGCATTTAGAGTGTATGGCTTTTGAAGGGGAAAAAGGAATTGTAATGAGAAAAACAAAAAAATTAAATCAGAGTACAAGTAGTTAAGGCACTAGGCGAGAAACGGAGACTAAACTCAGGCCCAGGCTTATCAGTGAAAAGCAGCTGAGTGACTTCAAGTCAGTTACACTCTCAGCTTAAGCTACCTCACAAGGTGGTTATTGTGGGAAAAATAGAAGGAAGGTGTGTTGGGTATGTTTGCTGCCTTGAGTTATTTGTAAAAATAATACAGCCAGAAGATAACAGAGAGACAGAAAGACAATATTTTAATATATGTTTAGTTATTTTTCTTTTGTAGTCTTTATTAACAATGATATAATTTTAGCATTTATCTCAGATCCACATCTTTTCTGAATTAAAATAATTTTTGTTTTTTTATGATTAATTACTTAATACTTATTCAGTATACAATTTCAGTCATTCTTTTGTCCGGTTACTGATATATTTTTGAATCAACTTTTTTCTTTTCTTTTTTTGCTTGCTCATTTGCTCTTTTTTTCTTTTAAAAATTATCCATAGATCAAAAAGAAGGGGAAAAAATTACCCATAATAGCTGGAAATCTATATGCTTGAATAGAATGTCATATAAAATATTTCTGCCACATAGAAAAAGGCTGAAGCAGAATAGATAGGTTAGACCCTTCTCTTCTATCTCAGTTGATAAAGGACACATCTATAAACATGTCCATTTCTAATTTGTTGATAAGTGGCTGTTCAAATTTCTAACTTCAGTTCTGTTTTTCTTCTGAGTCACTTGTGTATTGCATAATAAAATTAGGCTGGCTGGGGAAACATGGAAAGAGATTGAATGTGTGTATTTAATTCACCATCCAGCAATCCATCCACCTTACTTCTAGCCATTCATTTTAGCAGCAAAGCTGATGTCTCAGTCTGAACTTCAAAATATTCTATAGTAAACAAGGAAAAAAAAGATCCTTGTGAAAATAACGCCTGCCTCTTTGTCTTCTTCCTCCTTTCAACCTCTTAAGCCTCCCCCACTCTGTAAAGGGAGTTTAGTTCTACAGTACGGATTTTAACTTCTCTCTGTCATTTAGCATGGGGAAAAAAAAGGATTTTTTAAAAATGCAATGTAAACTAGAGTAAGTCCTGTGATTATCTAGAGAAAAGCAGTATTGTGGAAACCAGCCATTGTCCAAAGAAAGACTCCAGGTTTGGTTGAAACAGCTTCTAAAGATTCTTGGACATCAGGCTATGCAACTATCCCAGAGGTTACCAGAATCCCAACAGCCTTTCCTTCCTACTATGTTGACATCCACATTTTGAATTTGCATTTCATCTAACTGAGTACAGCACTTACTACCATGGAACCAATACAGAAAATCTATAGGTTTAAATTACAGGCTATTTGCATATCCATTTACAAATCAATAAATGCAAAACAAAGGACAAACATTCTTGCATCAAACTAGCTACCTCTGATCTGTAGGCCATTAAAAGATGCCTGCTTCCCTTTGACCAACGGTAAAAAGATCCAGATTTTCTGCAAATCTAGACTTCGTCATAGGTAGTTGCCGGGTTTCATATTGCTAATGCTTTGTTTTGCTTGAAAAAGCCTTCCATCTTTAGAATTGCCACCTTTTAACCTTTACTTTGTGCTTGCTCATCTAATGTGGGAATGTAAAGGTGCAGCCTAGAGACCTACAGTATGTATAATAAGCATACAGTAGTGTGGTTGGTTTGATTTTGACACAACATGATGTGTGAACTAAGACAGTTTGGCTTCTAAGTCATGCTTACTGGTTAGCTTTATGGGTGAACTTGATTGTTAATGTTTATCAAAATATTGCTTACATGATGTATGAGTTGTTATTGTTCATTTTTGGATTCCAATTGATTATTTTGCAAATTAGAT